CCATGCGTCGCTTCACTGACAAGTTGTAGATGGACTCTTCTACCGAACCCTCAATAAGATAAAGCCATACAGTGGTCTCGTTCTTCTGGCCAATTCGGTCGACTCGAGCAATCGCCTGCAGCTCGAGCGCCGTATTCAGCAGCGGCTCGCACAGAAAGACATGGCTGGCATTGACAAGATTGAGACCACTTGAATTGGCCCGCCCATGGAGCATGAAGCACTCAACACCGGGATCCTCCTTGAATCTCGTGATCCCGTTGGGCCGGTCTATAGTGGAAAACCCAATCTTGTAGCGATCAAATGCCGCGCCTAGAATTTCAAGAAAGCTCTTGTACCTGCAGCAATGTGAGTAGAGGCCTTGAGGGTGGGTAGGTCCGGCTATACGCACTGGGTGAAAACGATAGACTTGGCACCGGGGTCCGATTCCCTCAACCAGAGAACATGCCGAACGAGTGTGTCAACCTTTGTTCCGAAGGACAAGGAGCCCAGTTCAACGTCGTTAATCTGAGCAAGCTTTTCGGAGCTGAAGTGGGAGTAGATACCACTCGCCTTGGCGGCTTGGTTTTTCTTCCCTTCAGGCGATGGGTCAATTGCTGTGTCTTCGTGCATTTTCAGCTCTCTGGGCTGCAGAGTAATATCATGCAGCTCAGTAAGCCGGAGCGTCCTTTTGCACATGGGACAGTTATGGTGTGCTCGGTACCATTGCTTCAAACAATCTCTGCAGAACTCGTGGCCACAAATCGTTAGTATACCTGTCGTGAAGTATGCCTGACAAATTATGCACCAACGAGGCTCGTTGGACTGGCCGCCTTCGCTTTTGAGATTGAGCACTAAAATAACGATCAGTCATAGATAGATATCCGCATAAGCCAGGCAGTGCTACACTCACAGTAGCGATGCTTCGCCCTAGCCGAGTCAAGCTTATTATGTTGTCTCTCCTCATTCACTACACAAGCCGCTATGGCCTTGTCGTCATTCGGGCCCTCGTAAGGGGCGACGCTATCGGAAACAGCCTGCAGCTGCCGATAATACTCGACCCTGGCGTTCATGGCATTCGTAAACCGGTCAACTTCGCGTTCTAGCGCCGTGGCAGCCTTTGTCTGAGAGGTGATGTGTGCCTGAGTGGCTCTGATCTGCCGGTATACAATCTCACGCTCGGTGTCTGCCCGACCGCCAGTGCCGTCTTTTGGCAGTCGCGAAGCGATGGCTCGAAGATTGGCAATGACGCGGCGAAGGGAGCCATGCTTGTCCGGCGAGGGCTTCACCTCGTCCCTGAGGCGATAAAGAGCAAGGAGTTTCTCTGGGGCTGGGCCGTCACCATCCTCAGCGGCAGCAAGCGAGACTCTCATCTCGTGTTTGACCAGTGCATTACCAAGGCCTGAGATGGCTTCCTGGCGATCGGCGATGGCGGCACGCAAGATTTGCACATAGACAATGAGTTCCTCCTGGATCCTGGTCGAATCCGTAAATTCCTCGCCGGTGACCTCTGCTTCCGCTTCTTCGTCAATAAGTGGCTGGCAGAGCAACTTGATAACAGCTTCTCTCCACTCATCAATACGGTTTGCCTGTTCATTCAGAATGGCGTAGAGCTCTTCAAGCATTTCAAGCGTTGGACCGCTTTCTAGGCCTCTCATCTCTTTAAAGACAAGTTCTGGTATCTCAACAAACGACTGACTCTGGGCTTGCCGTTCCAGTCTCTTAATCAGTGACATTGCCTTGGCGTGGCTCTCCGAGAGGATTTCTCGTCGAATCTCTTGGGCCTTCCCGTATTCAGAATCTTCTAACTGCTGTAGCTTCTTGAACTGGTCTGAATCGGGTTCAGTCATGTCGGTATCAGATTTGATCTGGAAGAAAGCATTGGCACAGAAAAAGGTGGCTTTGTGCAGGACCTCCAAAGCATGGCGCAACTTCGCCCGAGCCTCACCGACGCGAGGGTTGTTTGCCCCATCGTCTCCTCCATCTTCGTCAATGTCGCCCGAAGCAGAGGCGTCATCTCCAGCTTCCTGCGTCTGGCCGGAGGTAGTGCTCCTGCGCATGGTGGCTACCTCGTCCAGAATCGCCTTCAGCTCTTGCCGGCACTCCACGACGAGGACTGCAGCGTCTTTCTTCACTCTTTCCCATATTTCGAGGGCCTCTTTCACCCTAGGTCCATTCTCGAGCATTTGCCCATGCGTGAGCCTAGCCTGCAAGTACGCCCTGTGATCGGTTCTGATATCGTTGTCGCTTTGCTCAATCATTGCATCCAAGACTTCTTCAACAGTGCGCATAGGCCCAACTTTGCGACCAGTCCCTCGTCTCTGGACGATTTCAGGATGTAGGGCCGCTTGTCTTAGTCGGTTGAGCCAAGTCCGCATCTCATTTTCGTAATCCTCCGGCACCCAATCTGCCTGCAGAGGAGCGCCGAGAAGGTCCACGCCGCAACGCCGGGCCATGTTTTTGAACATCTCACTATAGTACTGCTCCTCCACGGCAGTGAACGGCAAAGTTATCACGAATCGCTTCTGCGGCGGCACTACAATCTCGTGCCTGACCAGCTGCTTGGTATGACGCAGAGCTATCCTTCCGAATAGAGAGCGGAACAGGGGCTTTTGGGACTCTGTCAAAGATCTCCAAACTTGAGGTGACGAAGCATAGGGTTCGTAGCGCAAAAAGTCGAGCAGGCCATACAAGTCTTTGACGTCGTTCTTCACCGGCGTTCCAGTGACGCCCCAAGCATTGATACGAGGAAGAAGCCTGGCAACGGCGGCTGCTCCAGTGACTCCGCTCTCAATCATCTGTGCCTCGTCAAGGCAGACGCGCCACCATGATATTTTTGTAAGGGGTGATCCTGCACGTTCGTACTTCCTCTCTTGGCGTCGAGATCTTTCAGGTGCCTTCATCGCGAAGTGAACCTCTGCTGATAGGACCGGGTAAGTCGTGATAACAACGTCATGGAAGGCCAAATCTGCTCGAAGCTCCTCCTCAGTATCGAAATTGACGTTTTTGCGTCCAGGATAGTATTTGACCTGTAGATGAGGTGCATGACGTTCAAGTTCTTCGATCCATTGCTGTTTCAACGAATCTGGAGTGACGATTAGAGTGGCACCAGTTGTGAGGAGCTCTTCGCCATCTGTTGTATGCACGACATCATCGGCGGGCGGACGACGATGGAGCGCAATGAGACCAATGATTTCAATCGTTTTGCCGAGTCCCATCTCTTCGGCTAGAATGCCACCTCTGACAGACTGTTCCGCGTGTTGAAAAGGCCCAAGGTCGGTAGTGACGACGTGATACAGATTGCTGACGTAGAAGGACCTTCCGGTTCCTAGTTCATCTCGAGTTTCGCGGAAGCTGTGGGCATCATCGACTTCATGAGGATGTTGCAAGTCCTCGATGGAAGGGAGAGAGCCAGTGTTGGATCCATTCCAACGAACACCCTCCCGCTTGAGAAGCCATTGTACCGTCTTCTTTTGGTATGGATAAAGAGAAGCAGTCAATTCTGGCACCTCGATCGATAGAGCTGTCCTATCATCGGCGGCAGGAACATGAGCTGCCTCGTAAAAGTCCAGCGGAGACCAACTTTCTAGTCCTCTGTTGGTGGAGGACGAGGAAACTACATCGGGCAAGAAGATGTTGAGAACCCGCTGGCTCAGTTTGCGCTCTACCGACGATCGCAGCCGGCTGTAAGGAGACTTGGTTTCGTTCCAGTATAGGTTAAAGCAGAATGACACCTTATAAAATCCACCCTGGGTACTCGCAGTGGCGTCAAGGGAAACCCAAAGTTCCCCTTCTCCGAGGGCCTTGGTCCAGTGACATGCATAAACATCCAGGCATGCCGCCAGACGGTTGTTCATGATGTTAGGCTGGATTGCGACTGTAGCGTTGATGGGGAGGACATCAGTCCGAGGTCGAGCGGCAATTCCTACTCCTTTAGACTGGCTCAGCCAGAAACGCAGGTAGGATCCGATGTTGCGGCGGCAAACCGGTTGGGGGCCGTTAACCAATACTCCCTCTGGACACTTCCGCACAAGTTCCAGTTCCTCTTTGGCTAGCAGGAGTGCCTCAGCATCGCCATCATATCGCTTGACCCGCTTAGACGGTGGCTCAGCAACACCTTTGCCATGAGATTGGTCTTCGCTGTCGGTTAGGAGGGCGTGCAGCTGGTTGATAAACCCAATGGGCCAAGGTTCTGAAATTGGTCAGAATATGTGCACTTCTCATCTCTCAATGAACAAACCGTGAAAACCAATTGTGGTGATTTCTGGAATCGCTTTGCTGCGTCGCGCCATGCTCTTTGAGCGACCCATGGTAGACCACTCTCGGGCGCACTGTTTCAACTGCTTGAACAGACCTCAAGACGGTACAGATACCGAGAACATTTGTTGCTTTATTTAACAGTGGTCGGTTGAAAGACTCTGGAGGAGGGAAAATGAGATGATTTTCTCTGCGACCAACGCGGCCGGAAGTAGGGGCATCATGATATGCGCAAATGACTGGGAGGAAGGAGGGTAAGAAGGAAGGACGGAAGCTCCCCGCGGTAGTTAGGTAGCTTAGCTTAATCGATAAGCAGGCAGGCAAGCAATCTTAGGCAAATGTCACGGCGCATTTACCTGCAGGGTTGCCTAATTGTTGACGCGACAGATGGCGGGGCGCTGCTAGTTTAGCGGAAGCGCCCCTGGCAGAATAACCAATGGCGAACCATGATAGCATGGGTGACAAGCCATGGTATTTTGAGAAGGCGGTGAAGGTCAAGAAGCTCGGACCCCCTCCATCGGTTTATGTCGAACAGCTTACCTAAGGCAAGTTTATCCCGATCCTTAGCGTCTGTCGGAACAAAATTTGGGAGGACGGCCAGTCGAGCAACATCGCGAGGCCCATTGAATTCGACGACATCCCACGCGCAAGCTCGAAAACAGCCAAACACCTGGCTCGAGAAGCTCGCATGTTCATTTGGTATGCAATTGGCATCCACAAGCAGCTCTGACTCCGCCAATAAAACTGACCCTTGCCCCTAGGTCACGATGAGAGCACCACGGATCCAGCAGTTTCTGAGCCCCTTCCTTCGCAAGGCTCCCGCCGCGCCAAGTTGCCAGGCCAGATGGCTTCATAAGACACGAGAGACTCCCGCGGTCCCGTCGCCGATACCATTAGTTCCAGATGTTCCAACTCTGCTCAAGGTCCTCGGCCGCGGCCTGAGCCAGCATGTCGACAAGTTCCCCTCGTGGGAGGCTCTCTTCACCCTCTCGTCGACACAACTTAGAGAACTCGGCCTCGAACCACCACGGACCCGACGCTACCTTCTCACTTGGCTCGACAGATACAGGAAGGGCGCATTTGGCGTCGGTGGTGACTTCAAGCACGTCGAGAACGGGGAGGCCTACCTCAAGGTCGTCCGCGACCCCGTGACGGATAAGAAGCTGGTCGTCAACGTCCCGGCCGGTACGGACGTCAAGGACGCCCCAGCTGACAAGCTGACGAGGCCGGCGGGGTACACGGTACGCGGCACTCACACGATCACCGGCCCCCACGCCTTGCCCCTGAAGGCTGGCGAGGGCGCGCGTGTAGTCGTGGTTGAGGGCATGTGGGAGCACAAGCAGGGTCACAAGGTGGATGGAGGTGAGCGCAGAAGAGGAGAGGTTCGCTTCAAGAAGCGCATTGCCGCGCGCAGGGCCGAGAGGGAAGCTCAGGGTCTACGATAAATGCAGTGGTGGGGTGTTCTTTTTTTCGCGTGACCACGTCATTTTCCAGCCTCACACCACTTGACACCACCAACTGTACTATATTCATAGATCTTGTACGATACGAGGTTGAAAAAGGGACAACGATGATCGATTGCTTGGGCCTAAATCCGCGGAAGATCTTGATCTCTTCGTCGACATTTTGTTGTTAGCACAAGCCATCGTGTGACTGGTGCTCCGAATCAGGTATCCCCTTACGAATTTGACAATGGTCGCTTGCTCTCTGATTGATCTCGGCGTTCTCGGCCTTTTTGCATTGCGCTGTTGAGAACACAAGGTAGGTCCAATACTGGCGTCTAAGCAACTGCGCTGCATGAGTTGCTGTGTATAGGGTACTTGCCCGGTCTCGTTTATTGACAATACTGGACAACGGCATGTGCAAAGCACCCACGGAGATGCCGCTATCAAGCTCGTGTGACTCCCGCGGCACTCGATCTTGGCTGTAACCCAGATGAACATGGCGGTAGGCGCCATCGTTGCTGATTGTTTTACGAGAGTCGGCCCCAACGCAGTACATAATAGACAGGGCGACGTGTGGGAGGCCCGAGGTCAACTGGGCAAGTTTATGCAGTGAATCTAACCCACCGCAGCCTGGCAACCTTTGGTATGTGTGCCTGTACTGAGTGCGGGGAATGAAGGGCCCTTGCTTGAACGAGAATGGTAGGGAAGATAAAAAGGTAGACCTTGGCCCAGCTTATAAGTAGCTTGGATCAAAATGCTTAAAGCAACGCCAAATAAGTGAATCGACAGCCCAGCGTCACCTCGGACTCCAGACAGTGTTTAATCACGAGGATTTGTGAGTGGCGATGATGTGAGCTACGAAAGACACCGTTTGGGGCCGCTTCTATGATGCGATCGATCGAGTAGCCCATACGAACGGACACATACTGCTCTGACGGTTGGGCTCAAGCAGCATTATTTCGAGGCAGGGCACGCAGGCATGCCATATATAGTCTGATCCGTGTCGTCATCATGCTGTCGCATACCTGTCAATGTTGGGTGTCTGGATATATTCAACCACCAGATTGGACTCTGTGGCCAGGTCGGAAGCCGGGTCATACATGGTAGATCAGAGGACGGATATCACTTCCTTGTTTCGCCAGAGTCAAGGCACAATTCTGCCTTTGTAAGGCAGAATCTGAGCAGCCAACAGCCCCAGTGAGCGTCTGGTTGGTATTTCTCAGTCCGAATCGTGGACATGCGCCAGCACGACGGAAGTATGGTTTTTGCGACAGACGTAGAGGATAACGGAAACGCCTGCTCTCTCTCTATCAAAGTATGTTTCGTAAGAATTTGGCCCTACAGCCGACTGGCATGACTGCGCGGAGAACCACAGATGAGAGTGGAGGTTGAATAGAAAGGAGCCGTCTGATGTTAAGCTTCCAACTGCCAACCGTCCGGCGATCTTCTTCACATCGACAACACGCTAGCCAATGAGAAGCTCCCTTAGCCGTTGAAGCTTCCACTTATAAACCCGCGCCAGCCTGGGATCAAGCTACTACTGTCAGTGTTTTGGATCAGCGTCTTCCAAAGGCACAGTCTCTCCTCTCATCCTCCAATCTTTAATCATCACTTGGCCAGCACACAGCAACATGGAGCTGTCGAGGACGGACGCCGGAGGTTGGCACACTTTTCTCGGAAGAACCAACAATAAATGGCGTAGCACCAATGCTGTGCTATCAGCATGGTCAATTGGACCAGCCTTACCAATCATCGTCGTCCGTCAAGCGTGGTACAGGTGTGTGGAATGACTATAGGCGCGCAGCGGGTACAATATCCGCGCTAAATAGTGTAGGTACCCCTATCGAACCCTTCTTCGACAAGTAGCCTGGGCTCGAGCCACTCATCCTACTTGCATGACGCCACGTAGAGTACTAATTAGTCTTCGAATTCTAGGCAGAAATCCTCTGGTGTTTGGTAAATAGTTGTCACGCGTAGCTGACGGCACTCCTCAAAGTGAAAGCAAGAGGGGGCATGACACGCCATGCAGACAACGTTTCCTGCGCCAGTGTCGCTTTTACGGAAGTGATCCCGGCCAAAGCCTCACAGGCAGACGCCACAGATTTAGCTGCACGATAAATGAATGACATTAGGCAACAAACGAGGCAGGTTTGACGATCCAACATTCTTGGCTACCGCCTGCGAACCGAACCAAGGGTAGATGAGCGCCAATTTTCGATACTGCGTGCGCCCTTTGATCCAAGCGACATTTGGTGTGTCCAAGAACACCCGACGCCTGTGAGCTGGGCGCTGCGTAACACCCCAGCATTTTGGTATGAAACAGCACCTGACGTCCAGAACGAGAAAACCCGGCAACGAAATCCGATTGATCAATTCACTAGTCGAGCTGTTTTCAAACTTTGCCTGTCACGAGGTACCCAAAAGCAAGGCACGGTTCCATGCCAGAGCCCCGACCCAACCGGCTGTTTTTCGTGCGGTTCTCTTCGGTAGGCGTTCGGGAGCGAGACGGGTTTGCGAATAAGGAAACTTCTGGGGTCTATCAATAAGCTTAATCCCGTCGATTCGGAGTATCCCGCAAGTTTTGCCCCCTTCCTTCTCTCTGGTCACTGGGTGTCATTTCCGATGGTGGAACGGACTTGGGACGCTACGTACCCGTTACATGCTTTATCCATTCAATAAGTCGAAGAGAGGTTAGTATCGAAACCCGGAGCCGGTTGCCGTAAGGTGAGTCACTGAGGCCGGTATGCTGGGTAGCTTCCGTCAGACGCAAAAGATACATGCCATGCCGTTTCGTAATCCTCCACGTACCTTTTCCGTTCCTTGACCGACATGGCGTCAAGCCCCACCGCACACGAAGGGGGCGGCCACTCTCCCGTGCAGCATGGGGTTACGACTCATCCATCGATCATATGCCTCCTCCTCGACACCCTTTCTCCCATGGCTTTGTCGGCTGCATCTCTTCGAAAATTGTCACCGAGCGTGCCAGCGTCGCCATGTATTTGGGCCTTAGCTAGGTGCGGCGTCTGGGCACCTGGGTGCTGCTGCAGCCAGTCCTGGGCGAATAGGGTTGGACGGACCTAGGTATGCACGGGAGACGCCTCGATGCAGTATGAACGGGTGAGTTGGTTACCGGGCCCAAAGGTCGAGAGGGTTTGGTTTTCTGGCTGGTTTTCATTTTTAATCAATCACAACTGATACTGAACCCATTCGCCAGCTACAGATTGTACGCAGCAACATGCACGTCAACCCCCTGGCTCACCCAAGTCAAGTACAACGTTGCTGTTCAGTCATTGGTCGCTTCCCCAATCGATCTAGGGCTGGAGGCCAAAAAGGTCTCAACTCTACCTTCCAGCTTTCGTGCTACCTAGCTTGTTGCAAGGGCCTGGTTGGCGGAAGTCTCTCTGATTGTTCTTTATCTTTCTGGGAGCTACCTCGTCAGGGTGGGTCGGGCTGTGACCCACCCGGATACCCCTTGTCAATGTATGTCCACATCCAGTCCGTCTACGCAGGTCGTTACGTGCCTGCTTCACGAAATCCTCCGACAATACGTAGGCCTGAGGACGAAAGCTCCTCGCAACCTGACCTCACTGGGAGCCCTAGCCGCTCAACAAGACCACTCACCAACCACTTTCCCAAGTCCTAACCTATCGTGGGCCCTTCCCCATGGAGCTTGCGAGCCTTTGGTCATGCCTTCTGGCGGCCAGTCGTTATCAGATGGATGGCATAATCCCGCATCGCACTCCCCGACTGACGCGCGGAAGGTCATTGCGGGTCGTTACGGCCTCTCTTGAACGTCAGGCACCTCTGGTCTTACTGGACCATCGTATTTCGTATTCCTTCCGAATGAGGAAGGCTGCCACATGAGCCCCTGTCTTGTCCCGGCTAAAACAGCCAAGTGGCCGCGTCCCGCGTCCCAACCGCTGCCGGGCATAATCCACACTTGCCCGTCTCTCACCGATCCGGTGCCCCACTGCCGTGTTTTGAGCACCCTCATTCTGTCAAGTTTGAGCTTCTTTCATTTCCTGTGGCCAATTCCATCATTTCCGATGCTCACCTACACGCACTCAGCTTTCGCGGCACCCCCACCCCCCTTGGTTACCTACCACACATTCACACCCTACCTTACCCCCTGCTTAACCCGGCGTCGTGGACTCCACGACTACCCTTGTCCTAGTCGCCAATCCTTTGGCGGGCCACGACTATGGTGAACTCATGGTCCATACCTGAGGAGATCCCTTGTCCCATCCTGGGTTACTCGATATCCTTTTCTTGCATATTCCGTCGCGGCAACTGCGTAATTCTGCGTCTCCATGCGGGAAAAAGGGCAACTGACCGTACCTGGGTCGCTTCGAGTCTGCCCTGCCCATTACGCGGTGTCTATGATCAGGTCCGGCATGTAAGTGCTAGTCCTCGAGACACATCTGTAGCAGCCTGGATATTCCGGCTTTCAATATAAACTGAGGCTTTTCCCTAGCTCCATGAAGACTGAATCATGTCAGTACGGAGTATAGACGAACCATAACAGTTCCCTTCCTTGTTTACTGCCATATTAGTCGGCCCTCCTTTATATCTTACGTCTGTTGTCCATATCAGTGTCGTGTTAGCCCAAGACAATCAAGCTGGGATATATTTCGGATCACAATCCACAGTGATATCGGTAGCTAGCCGGTGTTCAGTTGTAAGTGCATCACGGCTCTGCTTTCCAGATTGTCCTGCTAACAGTCCAGGCTCCTTCAACTTCGCGCCTGCGATCCCTGTGGTTCAATACGCAAAGGTCTGCCTTTCGGGAGTCAGGCAACTACCGCATTGCTAACTGCTCTTCTGGCAGGAACAGCCAACTGGTTCACGTTCAGATTAAAGTACACGAGAATCGTGACTGGATCCCCTGGCGTGGTTGACAATGTCTTCTAAGGCCTCGAAACCGTCAGAACCCAGCTCGAAGAAACAGCACTCGCCAAAACCCAAGTCCAAGTCTAATTCCAAATCCAATTCAAATTCCAAGTCCATGAACGACGACTGGGCTGAAATTAGCGACCCTGAGGAGCGCCGGCGCATACAAAACCGCCTGGCCCAGAGGAAGTTCAGTATGTTGCCGAACCAAGCCCCAAGCCACACTTGCGAGGTCTTGCTGACCGGCTGGCCAGGGAAGAAGACACAAGACAGCAAAGAGAAGGCCGTTCGCGACGCCCACAACGAGTCCAACGCTCACAACGCCTACGCCATCGCCTCGCCCTCCGCGGCGGCGACGGCAACGGTGGAAGAGGAGTCCGGCCTGCCATGGGGGAGCATCAACTTCAATCACGTCATCGCCCGAGGCCATGAGCACGAGAGCCGACGCGGCAGCGGCCGCGACGACTATGTCCGTGAAGAGCCGCACTACGCAGCCGGCTACGCCTCCAGCTACACGGGAGGCTATAACCAGCCCGCGAGCTACGGGAGTAGTGGGGGCGAGGACTACTACTATGGCGGCGAATCGCCATTCTTCTTCGACTATGACCAGAGTGGCGACCTGAGCCACGGGCAGGCTGGACCGTAGGGCCGCTAGCAGACTGAGCTGACGCGCCTGACCAACGCAAACCCCCGTGAGCTAAAATCGAATCCCGGTGTGCTCAAAACGCACTGAAACTTCCTGCTCGCGGAGCCCTTGATCGAAAGATCTGGGCATGGCTGGCTTGTACAAAACAGGGACGGCCTTCAGGACATTTTATCACCTAATTTAAGGCGTGGAACCCCCTGCCGTTCCCCTCTCCTTTTCATTCATGTACCCCTCTCTCCTCCCGTTTGTCTTTTCGTACCTGTATCTGGGGAAAGCATGCGGCAGGTTTGGCTTATGGAGTTTGGCGAAGGGAGGACACCCACACAAACAGTTTATGTGGGCACGATGACGAAGGTTACAGATAACCATATCAGTTGTTAATAAAGACCACTCTGACTCTTTCTTCCAACGTATTGTTTCATTCTTGACTATGTATGGATGCTTGACCCCTGACCTCAAATTGAGGCCACCGGAAACCCCTGAACCCTAAGAAGTCTTGTTGTTCTACGTGCCCCCCCCTTCTATGGCTAAAATTGCCATTCGGCGATTTGGTTAGTAGGGACATGTTAGGCACAGCGACCAGAGAGGGTTCCGGTATCTGACCAGAAGTCGAGACCAAGATCCCCATAATGCTTCGTCCAAGATGGCTGTACACCTCCAACTTCTTTTCTTCTTCTTCTTTTTTTCGGAGTTTGACTTTAGGCACCAAGTCCACCCCCGAACTGAGTTCTGTACACAAAGGAAGCCTAGCACCCGCGTTCACCCTGATCTCGCAAACCCGTCATCCAAGCTCGACAGGCGATGCAAGAGAGGGATCCAGACTCGAAGCTATGTGACGTCCTCTGTCCCCGCATGAACTCTGTGTGCATGGGGAGGCGTTCCAAACAGACAACGTCGAAAAAGCAGTGGCTTGTTGGCCTCATGTAAGTCGCGCATGCGAATAGGGCATAGCGCACGTTTGTACGAGACAACGTGACCCGCGCCAGGCTGCCTTGGCTGGCGGCGTGTTAGCCTAACCACCCTAGGAGGCGTCGGGTTAGAGCTGCGGGAGGGTAAGACGGTAGCCATTTCGGTTCATTCGAGACCCGTATACTTGACCGAACGCCCTGCGCAGGTCCTGGGAGGGTCACAATGGAGACAGGTGGAACCACGGCGACGACACGACGGCCGTAACTACCTAGGATAGAGAAGAAGACTTGGCGAGGCAGAGGCAGGCAGGATGGAATAGAAAAGTCCGGGGTTTTAGCTACGCCACTTTGGAGATGGTAGGCGAGAGTGCGATGGATGGATAATTAGAGTGGAGCGACAGTTCAGCCCTGCCGTATCTTGCCGGATAAGGAAAGGTCAGAGCTTCAAGGAACCTCGGTACGTACTGCCGGACACTACGGATACACCGTAGCACAGATCACATACCCCACGCAGCAGGGGTGGGGAAGTGATGGGATGACCTGACCGCCCGGCAGAAATGGGCTCTTGCCGGAATTTTTTTGTCGGTTTGTCGGTTTGTCAGTTCGACCGGACACTGCGACATTCGCGGTCTGGCAGAATCAGAGGCGGGAAACTAGTCAGCTGATGAATATCTTGCCACACTTTGTCTCCACAGTTACTCAAGGACCCGAGGACACTTGCACGACCAGGCCAATTCGTTCATGATGGCGCCAGACGGAGACCAGACCAAGAAGGAGCCCGTCGATCCCGCGAAGCAGAACCGCCGGCTTGCAGCCAAGGGTGAGAGTCGAGCCCGAACCCATGCGATTTTGAGCACCGGCACCCAACTAGACCGTTTCACTTACTAACCTATATATCGATAGAGAGGCTCAAGGCTGAGAAGAAGGCGAAGAAACAGGAGAAGGCCCAGGCCAAGCGCGAGCGCAAGGCCAACGCAACCCGCGCGGGCAAATGGTCGGACCGGGGAAAGAAAAAGAATCCGGAGCGCCAAAAAAAGAAGGAAGACAAGCTGTTCAACCGCATGCTGAAGCGTGCCGACAAGCTCGAGGAGCAGGCTAAGAAGCTCATGGCCGATGCGGCGCGCACGCGCGCGAAGCATGCGGCAATAGCCCAGCGGAGGGCGGTGAGTTTATCTGAGCATGAAGGAAAGTCAGAAGGCAATTGCTAACTTGTGTGGCTTGCAGAAGATCGCCGCCGAGGAGAAGGAGCTCGAGAGCAAGAATGAGGAAATTAAGATCTATGACGACGAGAGCGACTCCGACGCGGATTCCTCCTCCGACTCGTCGTTAGCGTCTTCATCGTCCGACTCGGACTCGGAATCCGAGGCTGAGGCGGAAGAGGGCGGCGTGCCTGTCGAGGACGGAGACGTCCATATGAAGTCCGAATCACCGAACCCCAGCGCGCAGCTCCGCGCCGAGAGCGAGGCCAGAGCGTTGAGCCACGAGCAGCAGATGGAGATCGACGAGGAAGAGAAGTCCAAGAAGTCCAAGAAGTCCAAGAAGAGCAAGAAGCCCGAGGAGAAGGTCGAGGAGGCGACGCCCGCCAAAAGGGAAAAGAAGGATAAGAAGGGATCCAAGGCCGAGGAGCCTGCTGCTGTCGAAGAGGCTGCCCAGACCGAGGAAACGCCTGCAACAAAGGAGAAGAAGGATAAGAAGAAGAGCAAGAAGGCGAAGGCCCCAGAACAGGTCGAGGAGGAGGCGCAAGAGCCCGCCAAAAAGTCGGACAAGAAGCGTAAGCGCTCGAGGGAGGATGAGGAGGAGGACGACGACGATGACTCCGAAGGCGGGGCTGCGGTCACCGACGAGACACCCAGTAAGAAGTCGAAGGACAAGAAGAAGACGAAGAAGCAGAAGAAGGAGGAGACGGACAAGACCTCCGCCGTCAACGCCGCGGCCGCGGCCGAAACGTGGGACGTCGAGCAACTCAAGGGCGGCGCAGACCGCCAGCAGAAGTTCATGCGACTTCTCGGCGGCGGCAAGAAGGGTGCAGCCGCGGCGAGTGCCCCGCCCCCCGGCTCCAAAGGCAAGCGTGACATTGGCAAGATCACACAGGAGCTCGAGCAGCAGTTCCAGGCCGGCGTGCAGATGAAGTACGAGGGCGGTGGCCAGCGTCGCGGCCTCGGCGCATAATATGCACTGCCGCTGCCGCTGCCGCTGCTCCTAAGGCAAAGAAGGCGATGCTGAAGCCGGCGTTGAAGAAGACGCGCTGGGGCTCCTTGTTGTCATTTTCCCACGGTGGTTTTAATTACTGCAGCCCTGGCGTTTGCGAGGGCAAAATCAGTGGAGTCACAGACCAGGTGAAAGGAACCGAAAAGCATTGCTTTGTAGAATAAGAGAAAAAAAGATTGGGAATGCTTCTGAGCCGTTGACCGTTAGTCAAGCTACATGTGGATGGAGAAATAAGACGAAATACAATGCGCTGACAAATGGGGGAGCGTATTTTCTTGCTTCCCCCGAAATAACAAGAGGCATAAAGAGCATTGTTTTGTAAAGACTCATCTCCGACCCCAGTGCCGGGAGGCCAAGATCTTGGGTGCCGGTTGCCGAGATTCAAATGCCTGAAGAAATTCTTCCTCTCCTCCGAGGCCAAGTGAGCTGCGTCTTGTTTGCCTGCAAGCTCCTCCCGACCCGAGGTCCTTCCTATGCCAAAACGAGAGCAGGAACTCTGGTGGCTTACTGAGCAGGGATCGTAAGCCTTCGTCAGACAGACCCCGCTCTCATTTTCTAACCCCTTGTTCATCCCCTGAATGGTATTTTGTGACTGAGTGCGAGTGAGGGTCGAGTCAATTTAGAAGCCAAACATGCGAGAGCAGGCCTCAAAGACAATACCGCCAAAGACGACGAAGGCGAGGAGACCTGCACACAAGAGAGGTGTTAGCGGCGGTCGCAGAGGGATACAACAGATATATCTCGAGGGGCTGGCAACACGGGCAAAGGGCGGCGAAATGAATCGCGGGACCAGGTGCAGAAGTCTTGGTAAAGAGGGAGCTGCTCACCAAGCCATACAGGAGAGATAGGCGACTTGGGCGCCTCCTTGGTGCGCTTCTTGATCTGATCCTCGGATTTACCCATACGGGACTCGTTGTCCTTAGCGAACTTTGCGTTTGCGCGTCTCTGTTGGGGTGTTTGCGCCTGAAGGTTGGGACGTTAGCAATGGGACAGAATCATTTCGGCGCACTGGAAGAATCAATTGAAGATAAAGAGGACATTGTAGGATGACTGACTCCTTGTGGAGACGTCAACGTACCATTGTGAATGTGTGTGAGTCTGTATTAGGTGTGTGGTGGGACGCTGTGGATGGTCAAGGTTTTGTCTGTTTGGGTGACAAGATGCCTTTTTTTATATTTCGGGCAGCAAGAAAGCAAAAGTGGTGTTTCGTGGTCTTTGCGAGTGAGGTTGTCGAACAGGTGTCGAGAGAAGAAAAGGGAAGCCGGTTGAAGGGACAGATTGCGCGAGGGAGCTTTGGCTAGAGCGGTTGAAGCCAATTACATTACCACGGGTAGGTAGGCAGGTAGGTAGGTGCGCGCTCCGCTGATCAGACCGCCCTGGCATTTGGTGACGGGAATTGACCCATTCACCCTGGGAAGGGACCCCGAAGTGGCACCTCACTAGGAGGTACCGCGTAGAGCCGGTCGTTCGGGACATGTGTCGTCAAATGGGAAAATACGGGGCGTGCAACCTATTTGGCGTCAGGGGTAATTATTCCCCAGCCCACACGCTGTGCATGCACTTATTAGTTACCTATCTAGATAGGTACCTACATGACATACCTAGGTAGGTATGTATTTACGTCCTGGGGGCCGAGGGGGACCTATTACCTGCCTTGACTGAGGTACCTCCTAATCTACCTACCTACCTAGGTAGTTGTGCACGAAACCTGAGGCCGCTGTGTCCTAGCTAGGTTAGTCAGCATCGCCGCTCTTGCTCAGGCTTGCGTCACCTATGCTTAGTGCTGCTTAGGATATAAATCACCTTAATTACCCCCTCCCTAAGGACGCATCTAACTGTCTGCTTAAATTTTAACACTGCCTTGTTATTCCTACATATAGATTATTAACTTTACGCGACTTTTACTATACATAAGGACTTAGTTACTGCTACTAGGAGACAGGATAAGTATAGGTTTAGGCAAGTGACCTAGCTCCTAGTGTACTTAACATCTAGGCGCCCTCAAATTCAACTTTTCAGCATCCCCTTTCTCGAAGGACAGGAGCATCTAAGCTACTGGGTGAGGGGGATGTACAACCGATTAGCCGAGCGCCCGACCTCCCATCTGCCCGTCGCCTTGCAGGCCTACTGCCAATTGACATTCGGACACACTACCTCGGCAATCCTGACCTAGTCCGTCAACCACGGGTCTTGCAGAAGTTGCCTCGCTGTAGGCCGAGCGTTCGGGTCCCACGTAAGGGCTCTCCGAATGAATTGCAGAAACTTGAGATTATTTTCAAGTTTAGTCTCCGCTGCCTCGAGGGTTTTCTCTCTCGGGATAGGTACGAACTCGCTCCAGTTTCCTAGGAGACAGTGGTCAGACTTCCCACCAGAGGGATTTGATACTAGAGTGTAATTTTATCAAACGAACCATGTTCATCCCAGTACTCAAGCGCTCGATTACGATGCCGGTTAAGGAGCTCTGGAGGTGGTGGGCCTAGTGCCGCGACGAGTTCGGCGAAGTGAACCCCGTCCGAGAAGCTGCCGTCTTCTTTGCGGGCACTGAACAGCGTCTTTCCTTCTAGGAGATCCCACGCCTGAGATACAGAAAGAGTTATTAGTAAGTCGGCCAATGGAACCGCAACTTCAATTCAAGCACATACTGTAAGTCCTACGCTCCAGATGTCGACCGGACAGCCCCATTGGATATGCAAGAGCGTCTCCGGGGCCCGGTACATGATTGGCATGATGTCGCCAGCGTGGGGACCAGGGCCGAGCCTAGCTTCCCCAAAATCAGAAAGCAGTAGTGGCCCAGCCCTAGGCTTCATCAGGCGGGAAAGGTAGATTGTGCGTTCTTCAAGTTGCTTGCGAGGAACGGGGCTCGAGAATTCATTTTCTTCCAGCTTTTGGAAGAGAGAGTCGTCATTTGTCCCAAGGAGCAGATTACCGGGATGAACATCTGATGTTGTCTCAGCTGCGATGTCGGGCATGTTTGTTTCTGCGAAAATGCATAGGAAACATGGTATCAGGGAGTGCACACGTACCAGTATGCACGCATTGTACCTCTGTATGCAGGAAATCAAGCGCTTCAAGAAGCTCTTTAATAGCACCCTTCACAAACCCCTCAGGAAATCCGCAACCGTCCATAAACACCTTGTCCATGTCACGGATGCTCATTTGAGAAACCTGAAGAGCAAGCGCAACATGCTTGCCATAAGGGCCAATTACTTCAAAAGAAGAGAACAGCTTTCTGACATTTTTTGCGCCAGGGTGCCGGCTTGGGAGAAACTTATCTAAGTGCTTGTAAAACGGCAACTCCCGGTGCTGGACTGAGTTATGAATGTAGATTTTAAGCGCTACGTATTGGTGATATCTATGCTGTACGATTAGTACACTTGTTACACTTAGACTGGATTACTGACCGGAGGTCACGCGCAAGCCATATAGTGGAGGACGAGCCATAGCCAAGTTTCGCTACAGTTTGGAACTGGTTATTAAAGACCTCGCCAAGTCGAACAGGATAGAAGTGTTCTGAGCTGTATTCCGGCATAGTCTCCTCCTCAACAAGCTGATCTTGCCTAATAGCATTAAATCCTACTACTGGAAACGTCCGGGGCGTTGAATGTGGGCGCTGAGACGACATGTTATATTTGGCAGCGAGTGAGCTGATTGTTGAAGCCATTGGTATGTGATGCTGAGCTCGAGGAGTCAAGAAAGAAATGAAATAAGTCGGTAAAGTAGGATGGGGAAGTCGTCGACGGACGACTCGGCATGGCGCCATGACAGTTGATCTGGAGTGGAGCATATATGTGATGGGTTTGCGATGGAAAGCTTATGGCAGAAGACGTTGTGTCCGGAAATTCCCCGGCAATTGAACTTTCTTCAGGCGAAGCTGTGGCCAATTGCGCGATACAGTCTGTCGCGTTGGCAGCGTCCAAAACCTCCTGCTTGGTCCGTGCGCTGAAATCACCTCTTTTCTAGAAACTAGAATTTCTAGAATCTAAGATAACAAAAGAAATAATATACAGTTAAATATATAAAAAATATAAATTAGTAGATAAAGATCTTATATAGCTATATAAACTTTCTTGAATTTAATACTATTTATGTCTCTTTTAAATTCTAGATGTTAGAAATTCTAGCCTGGACGCTGCTGGCGCAACAGGAAAATTTTTGGTGGTTGCGTTAGCAGCGACCAACCTGGGATTTAGACGTTGGTCGCTGCCAACGCAACCACTAAAAATTTGCTGCCAACGCAACCACTAAAAATTTTCCTGTTGCGCCAGCAGCGTCCAGGCCAGAATTTCTAGAATCTAAAGTAGTATATTATAAATACATAGGTAAGTTAAATAAAAAATAGCCTATAGCAGATCTAGGGACACACTACTTAGATAAATAACTATAGATTTATAGCTATTTTACTTCATTTGTTGTCTTAGATTCTAGAAATTCTAGTTTCTACGGATAGAAAAGAGGTGATTTCAGCGCATGGACCAAGCAGGAGGTTTTGGACGCTGCCAACGTGTAATAGACTATTGAAATCACGAAGAAGTATTGGTGATCGTAGGTCTTGTATTGCACAGAAGCTGAATCTTGGAGAACTATTCTCCTGCGATTCGTGAGGCTATCGCCAGCTAAATACGCCCCACTCCCTGAAACACTATGCTAACCTTAAGATAGTTAGGCAGCTGTCGCCACCTGGTCTCAGGCGGCGCCCTTCGGTCGAGCGGTCATTGTCCTGTGACACAACGCGACAGACTGTAGGAAATTGCGCGCGCGTAAAATCACGCGCCCCATGGGCCGACCCTGGCGTGGCGCTTAGACGAACAGGGTCGACAAGGTGTGTGTGTGTGTGTGTGTGTTATATTTAACGCCGGGACGTTCCTATAGACGACAAAGGGCGCCTAGGGCAGCTAGCTTAGGAGATATACAAAAAGCGCTCAGCTAGAGCCAGCCTATTGTAATATTCCAATACTAACCTCTTAGGAGGTTACTGGTGATTGTTCCTTCTGTTAAAGTGCCTAGAGGCTCAATCAGTGGGCTCCTTCCTTCTAGATATCCCCTTAAAATAGGCCTCTAGCCTGCCTAAAGCCTTCTATTCCTGCCTTATTTATCTAAGATATCTTCTACCTAGCTAGATTCCCGTACTTCTTCCTAGATAGTACTAATAAGTATTTAATACTAACTGCTTTAGTTTCTACCTATTCTAGAGCTACCCTAGGGAAAACTATAAAGAGAGAAAAACCTAGGGTAGCTAGTTATAGCTACATAAGGCTACATAAAGTATGTGTTGTTTACATTAGCTTAAACTCTCTAGAAGTAGCCTTTATGTAACAGGGCGCTGACAGTGACGCGCCTGCCAATAGACCTTCCAACGCCTGGCTCTACCCAATTGAGCCAGAACGCCAAAAGATCCACCAATGCTCAAGTGGTCCTCACTGAGCACTGCTGTCAACACCACTTATATGGCCAATCGCCAATCAATTGGGGATTGTCACCCTGTGACACTTTACCTAGTTACTTGATGTAGTGCATATCTAATTAATAATATGTTATGTTATAGAGGAAAGGGGTCCTAAATTAGTAGTGTTAAGGACAGATGTGTTAAGGGATTTTGGAAATGTGCGCCCTGTTAGGGGTGTAGGGCGCCTTCTATATGTTTCTCTAACAGAGGGGTCTGTACACCCATGGGTTGAAAAATAAATAGAAGGGAGAGTTGAGGGTCGACAAGGTTGCACATCGAGTTCACTTGCCGCCCAATCGCACTGTGATTACTGTGTAAGTGCGGCTTCCAACTGCCCACTCCTAACCAAGCTTGTCATGACTCTAAGCAGGTAGGTCAGAAGAAGCATAAATATCAATATAGTGCTGCCGCTGTAGTCTATGATTGAGTTTTCAATAGGAAAACATTTTTCATTAGAATAAGTCGCGAAATTCCCTTGAACCATTTACAAACTGGTTATTACATCCGTCGTTTTTATTTTATTTTAGAGTTCATCCCATCTACGCAACTTCAAGATGTCGGGTCGAGGATTCTCCACTACGGCCCGAGAGCCGTTGAATCTTATAGGGAAAGTTTCCTTACAAGATGTTAAACAGGTAAACGAGCCAATAGGAGCGCAATGGGCGGAGAATGTCCAGATTGTTGTGAGCTCAATCGAGAGTCAGGTCAGTAGCACAGTCCACATACACATCCGATACTCGGTGACTAACCTTCTCTCACAGCGCACAGACGTGGCTTCCTACGAAATTCAGTAAGGGTTCTTTTCCTTCCCTCGCTTGTGGCTTGCTAATGCTTAACAGAGGTGCAAAGGCTCACAAGTCGAGCAAAGACCCCAACGAGACCCAGGACGTCATCACGCTGGCATTTTACAGTCATAAAGGGACCAGGATCGGAAGTGCCCATGCCCGTGAGGACGGAACTTATACTTTTCAGGCCAGTCGTGCAGGCCGCTAGAAAATCGTCACATCGGTCACTTCGATTATTTGCGGCGTGGTATTGGGAGATGGAACGCTTTGCAGCGGACTTGGTCAGTAGGACGGAAGTTACAGTGGCCTTCACTGTTTTCGAAGGGATAGGCCAACACACCGGCCGCATACTTATTGAGGCTGTGCACTTATTACATCATTGAGCATGGACATAACGCTGGCGGCCGACGCCACCTAGCTACTCAGTGTATATATGTACCATTCATCTTTGTCAGTTTTGACTTTATCCTTAAGCCCCCTCCATGCAAACTTATAGCCATTACTGTTCTCCCTTCTCTCAATTACTACTTGCCTGGCCTTTTCTAAAAAGTTATATTTCCTAGAGTTAGGCGCTTGTATTAGGGCAGTGTAGCATAGTTATCCCTACTCTTAGTATAGTTTACAGCAAGTTTACTTGCGAACTAAAACACCAACGAGGGCTAGGCTTAGGGCGACTAGCCTAGGCTCACCCTCTGCTCAGCTTTGCTCAGCTTTGGCTCAGGTTAAAGCAGCCACAGATCAGTCCCCACACTCAATGCGGATTTGGGACAAAATTCTTGTCGCGGGTGACTATCTAGGTAGGTAGACTGCATGCGTACGGATACCAGGTACCTCCCTATGTACAAATCTTGAACTCCGGACCACTGCACATTAAACTGTGTGCCACGGGCAGCGGGACCCACGCGTGTTGCTGGGATGTGCGGGGGATATGCGCACCGCCACAGATCGGCGCGGCGCATTGCACATTGAATCGAATCTTTTGGTTTAAGCTACTACTGGGAGCAAGCTACTTTGCCTCCAGATGAACGACAACCGACAATCGACAACAACGAAGACGACGACAACGACGAAGACGACGACGAGCCATCAGTGAAACGAACCAACAATATTTCCTACATCTACACGGCGCAGCAGTGTTTGAACGAAAGAGTACAGCCTCGGGGGGACTGAAGCAGGAAAAGCAGAAACCGACATCGCCATCATGGCCGCGCGCAACGGCACCGCCGTTCTATGCAGGGCTCTCCGCACCCAGTACACAATGCACACCCCACATGCAGCTTCGCGCTTCTACTCGGGGTCACCAGATGCTGAGAAGAGGCCGTCGATAGTGGTCAGTGCCCAAGATGTCCCCGGGAGGGGGGATCCCTAGCTAACAGAAATCTCACCCCTTAGGCAAACTTTTACAAGACCTTTACCCGGCCCGTACTCAAGGTCCTTCTGATGGCGACCCTGACGTATCAGATCGCTTACTGGAGCTGGACGAAGCTCGAGCAGGACGAGATCCGCGAGGAGAAGGGGCGAGAAATCGAGGGCCTCGAGGCCAAGATCGCGGAGCTGCAGGCCGGCACCAAGGGGACGCAGGCGTAGAGACGGCCTGCGGTGTTGGTGACACATGGACGGGACTCGAACACAAGCCGGGCCTTAGTATGCAAAGATCGTCTGATCGAAATGGGTCTTGTGGCGTCGGCGCGGAAGGAAGATTGCATGCGATACCCCATACATCATCGTTATCAGATGGGCCGAGTCGGACTCGTCGCCAGAGGGAGAGGGAGAGCTATGATATCGGATTGAGGCAGAGCTTTCCGTGCGTGGTGAACTTTCTCCCTGCCCAACGGTCCTAACGTAGAGTGAGCGTCCCTTACTCTATATGGTATTATTGCTGTCACAAAAATGTACACTACTGTAGCATACTTGGAGTACCGCTCGTAACTGACAAGAGACCTAAACACAGGCCCGTTTAGAACTCATATGAAGGTCTACAAGATCATCTATTCGTTCAACTCTTCACGTCCACCTGCCTTGAACTACGGCTATTGCAGACATCTACACATGTGAATACATCATTGAAATACCACCCCGCCGAGTCAAACCTTTTGAAACGCCAATGCCATGCAACTTATAAAAAAATACAGACCCTCATTAAACAGTCGCGTTTTGCCTGTGATCCCTCATTGTGAAATACATCGGCCGCGTCCCCCAAACAAAGTATAATACCAGTACGTGGATGCTGTCGCTATTTTCGGTTCCGTCATTCATCAGAGCATGACTGCGCTAAGCGTGCCGACAATAAGGGCCGATAGCAAGCCCCACGACACCGACAGTAGCGAAGACGCCGAGGGACGGTGAACTGCGCCTGGGTAGTTGCAGGTAAGAAGGCCGTCTACCTGGATGGCGTAGCTTGAATTAAAGACAGCGTCGTCCGGCGTTGGACAGTTGAAGCCCAACGATGCCGGGCAGCTTTGTGCTATGTCGTAGCAGAGGTAGGCGCAGGGAAGAATTTCCCGGTACGGACCCGGCGCGATCATCTGGTCAATGAGGGGGTTTCTTGAATTCTGGTTGACACTGGCATTATACATGGCCTGTACGTCGGCGGGGAGCACAGTGCCATTGGGGAATGGCTGGTTTGTGTTCCTGACAAGGGAAAAGTTGGTAGGGTTGGTGAAGTCCTCGCATCGAGGAATTGTGACTGAGCACAGCCACTTCTTGTACGCGATCTCGCAGTCGGCGCAGTTTCGAGCGAGAGAATACCGCTGGACTGCCGGGGCCTCACAAGCCACCTGCGCGAGTTGCTTCTGGAAGTTGGCGTACATGTCCCTCGCGTAGTTGTCGTAGAACTGCGCGAGTTGAGCAATGTTCATCTTGTTGAAGTTGGCCGGCACGGCATACTCCGTTTCGTTGCAGAATTGCAAGTCAGTGATGATTTTGCAGTTATCGCCTAATGTCGCGTCAGTCATGGTTATGAGCAATGCATCTGTAATTATGTACATACCGTCTTTGGTCTCAAATGGCGTCGCCTCGAAGACACGACCACCACCTCCAGTGGATCCGGCCCCGTCTTGACGCTTCTTCATTGCTGACGAATTGCCAGTTTCAACCAGAATGCCCGTGTAGAAGGCACTTGCATTGAGACCGTTGAAGAAGAATTGCTGCTTCGGCAGGTTGCCGGGACCTCTCGTAGTCATGACGGTGCTTGCAAGGTTGCCGAACTTGCCGCCTTTCATCGCTGCAATCTGTGCGTAGTTCTCGAGTCCGCACATGGAATGTCGTACACCCTTCGTGGTGGGATAATCTTGGTTCTCGACGAACATGACAAACGGAGGGCCTTGCTCCATGATCTCTCGGATCCGCGTCTCATTTTGAGTGTCTGTCAGGTTCTGTGTAGTCAGAAGAGCGGCACTGGAGTCGCTGTCGACCCAAAGAAGCTCGGAGGGATTCGCATCGTAGCTGTGAAAGTAGTCATCTGTCGACACCGCAACTTCGAAGTTCCAATCCCCAGTAAACTTCTCGGCATCCTTCGCTGGCGCAGATATTCCAATGAACACATCTCCTGTCGTATTGACACGAAACATGGCGGCGCCTTCTTCAAACGGGATGGTGGTCTGTAGGGACGCGTTCTGTCCAGGCCCAGGGGTCTGATTGTCCTGGGACGTTGAGACGTACATCGCGATCTGTTGCGGATCTTCCTTCGTGTTGTTCCCCGCGCGCTGTGGCTGTATACACGTTGTCGCCGAGATATACACCGTCCTGCCCTGGGCCTGTCTGCGGCGTAAGCCACGATCCTCGTTTTCTAGATCAACATCCTCCGTAGATGCTAGCTCAGGAGAGGAGGAGTCGTTAACAACTTCGCGGAGCTCCAGCATGAGCGCTTCATCTTTTTCATTGAGAGAGTCGGCGAATATCGCAATCGCCTCGAAGACAAAGTTCTGGGTCGTGTTCCCTGGGACATTGCGGTTGATCGCGACATTATTCACAAGGCCCGTTACGCCGGCAGGCGCCCTTCCAACGATGCTGCGGTCAAAGGCAGCAAATTCCGGCTCGTAGGTTGGCTCCAGATGGCTTCTTGGTTCGAGGGAGTCATCGTGTTGGAGGTCGTCCAATAGTGGTTGCGTCGCACCAGTCAGTTCCGCGGCGAGGGCGAATGTGGGTGTCGACAGTAAATAGTAGAGGAGAATGAGAAGCAGCGAGGCAATCAGCGAGGCCGCCAGTCGTGATTGCAGAGGACTGAGCTGCATTGTGCGATCATGCCCTCCGGGGCTAGGTGACTTCGGAGTTCGTTTCGCTTGGGTGACGTCGCGGACGTCAGTCACTGGCGTGTCTCGAGGGATAGGGATCTGAGTGGGAATGCTCGATAAGCGCAACAGTTGTTGAAGTGTCGTTATCTGTAGTCGTAAGCTGGCCGCGTGCACCAGCTCATTCCATCATGGCACGTTGATCGGCGGGAGCAGTGTCGTTCTGCAGCTTGTCCAATTGGAAGCAAAAGCACTAAAACTGGTTTAGAAGACTGGGATCAAGCCGTAAAGGAGAGGTGGTAATGGGAAACGAGGGACAGATCGAATTTGGACTTGGGGGAGCATTCGGAAGGGAAAAACTGCCTTTGTCGTTTTAGAGAGTTTCAGATCCCAAACAGCTGAGAAGTCGAGCATACCTAGGTAGGCTACCGCGCCATCAGGTCTCCTCTGAACGGCTGCTGACGCCGGAGATCCCACTGAGCTGAGGTACCTAACACCAGCTTGACCAGGGGACGCAACCTGGTAGGGTGTGGAGACCCCTTTCGGCGTCTCGGAATCCACGGCCCCTCGCCCACAAAGTCCCTGAACGCCCTGAGGCCAAGGCACGGAGCGAGGAGACTCAGGAACGTTGCAGGCTGTCCCTCATTTGCCATCCACTTCTGTTTTCGAGGGTCGTTATGGTGACGAGTGACAATTCCAACAGATGATTCTAGCGTCAATGGGACAACAAAATGATGGTGGGCAGCATAGACAACGATGTTACACATAAGAGAAATGCTCGAATAATCCTTCCAAATACGACCTCCCCACACTCCTGAGCCCGACGTAGCCATGCTGAACCTAGCCGCTTCGTAGTTCCCGGGCGAACATTGTTGGCATGCGCTCCAGGTCGGAATCTGGCATCGCATTGCCTGATGCCTACTGATCGGCTCCCTACTCTAGTTGCCCATGACAAAGAAACAGATCGAACCTCCGAGTCGCTCTTTGTCTCAAGGTCAAGACGGCTTCAACCCCTCCCAACGCTTGTCACATGTCTTTACTTGGTCACTGCGGGAAGAGACAACGGGAACGCATGTCGCACTAGGGATCTTTCTTAGCACCGGGTACTGTCTAGTTCATTGTAGAAATCATTGACCCCGTATCCCGTAACGTATAGTAGCTCTATCTGGGTAACAGGAGCTCGTTCAACCGGTCCCGTCGTGACCTCGGGATCCTTGACCAAAATTGAACAAGCCATTACCGTTGTCGTCTAGGGGGTAAAGCTAGCCACTTAATACCTCATCCCGTCCTCTTTGTGTTCTTAGTCGCTGCATAACGTCCTTTTGACTAGCTAGCGAATGGTAATGGGATGAAGTCGAGCCAGCGGTGTAACTCGTCGTAGGTGGATGTCTCAAGGTAATCAACCTGCTTGATGAGCTAGTGCTGGTATGCATTTACTCGGCCTTGCCAGCCTGGGCACGGAGGCCAGAGGCGGTCGAGGCACCGGCGAAGTACTTGGCCAGCATGGGGGAGAGGAAGGAGTTGAAGATAATCTCAGCACCGCTGTTCACAGTCAGCCTCGGCTGTTGTGCTCCAAGGAGGGAGGGGGGCAGAACGTACCGGAAAGCAGGCAAAGCGAGCCACAGCAGGAAAACGAACTTGAAGGTGAAGTAGAAGGGGAACCAATAGACAACGTTGACAAGGCTCTCGGCAACGCTATTGCAGAATTTGTTAGCTGCAGTCGTTGTTGAGTGTTACCACCAGGGGCTACTAACGTGAAGAAGGCAAAGACGACCCAGTACTAGAGGAAGCAAAGGTTAGTTAAGGTTGAGGCACCGACAACTGCGGGGGAGAGTTGTAAACGTACGGTCAGCCACTGGGTATCATCCTGCTTGCTTGCAGTGAACAGAGCGTTCAGGGAATAGTATCCAGGAATGACGAAGCCAGCGATGTTGGTGAGAAGCTGGCCACCGAGGTTGAAAATAATGAGGAAAAAGTAGAGGGAGGCGACTCCGATGACGGCGTACGCCTTGGGGACATTGGTCGACTTCTCGATGTTATTAAGGGCGGGGTACTTGGACAGCTATCGCAACAGTCAGTCAGCATCAGAATACCATGATCATGTCGTGCTGTTGTCAGCACGACAATATTACCTCACGATCGAGCTGGCCGATGTAGTTCTGAACGCGATCCTGAGCAGACATATTGGCGGCTGAATGGAAGCTTGGCTGGGTTGCAAGAGCTGTGCGTTAATGCGCTGTGATAAGGGTTAGAACAAGGCCAGGTTGCAACAGACAAAGGGTGAGAGAGGGCGGCAGCTTTCGAAGAATTCGATGCAGGGGCACGGGCACTGACAGTTTGCTTGGTGGGTGATGTGGGTAGTATGCAAGGTCCACAGGAAGCTGTTGACGATGTCAGAATGTCAAGTCGACAGAATTGCAGAGTAATGGGGTTGAATGACCTTGGTTCTGCGTTGGAATTAACGGGTGAAAGGGAAAAGGCCGGATGACGACGTAACGTGTGCAGATCTGGCCAGTAGGAATGGTATGGGAGCCCTTTTGCGTCAAGCTTCGCTCGGGGCTAGCAATTGGGTCCAGGAGAGGGGAGGGGCACGAGCACGGGCACAAGAACAGAACAGCGAGGTAGCTTCAAGTCAGACCGACTTTGTGTGCCGGACGTATTTGCCCTGAGATCCATGTCCATCGTGTTAGCGGGTACTTGTCCACTGTGGTCTGGTCAAGGCCTGGATTGGCGTCAGATTTCCCTCGCCTCAGATTCCCGCCCGTCCCGTCTCTCCAGTCTTCGCCAGCAGCCAGCACATCATCATTCGGTGTGTGCTTACACACGCTGATAAGATAAGGCGAGAGAAGCTTTGGTGTACGTATCCGTACATATTACCGAGATAGGTATGGTTCCTCAGCGGAGGGTGCGTGCTGGCTGGGGGTAGGGAAGCCTCTCTCCCTCCCACACTCACTTACGTTGCTTTGGGTTGCTGCCCGAGCATCATGGCCACATGTTGTGTGTTGTTGCTTATGCTCGTCCATCAATTTGACTGGCCAGAGCTGATGGTGGTTTCTCCGCGTGCTTGGAACAAAGTAAAAGTAACGTCGCTACGTACCTGCCGGACGCCAGTGGCAGAAAGTCGGAAACAGACAAAGTAAGCCGACTCCACATCATGCACCAACCACGGCCGTACTGGACCAATTGGAAAACCCAAACACGACCAAGCTACAACGGGACTGGCTGCTCCAGATTATTTGGGAACCCACGGCCTGCAAGATGCCATGCACATCACGTGAGTCCGTCCAGCCACGCAAATCACTCGTCCAAGACCTGAGTGGAGGCGACCAGCCGAGCCTTGGTTGTCAAGTCAACAAAACAGCGGGAAGGCCTTCCAAAACATTTCACACATCCACACTCTGCCTCCAGGTCTTGCTTCCCCCCCCCCCCCCCCCGACCACGTCCTTTAAGATCTCGACGCTCACCACGGCGCACCGCGCTCTTCTCGGCTGCAGGGATTCGGATTGCTCCTCCTGACCTCGACGCTTCTGTTTCTCTTGCTCACTTGTTCGTCGTCGGCCAGCGCACGTTTACTTCTTTATTGTTTGGAAACGGCGCCTTGCATGACCCGTGTGTTTTCATCCCAGAACAACAACATCACTACTATACCACCGATACGACAAGTAGACGACGATGGATCACGGTACGCTTCACAGTTCTCCAAAATGCTTCTCTGCACCGAGATCGCCCTTCTACCTGCGTTTTATTGGCTGATCATCCGAGGTAAACAGAACACCTTGCTCAGGCCCTAAGGGCGAAGAAGAGACCACAATCCCGGGCTTCAACTGCTTCTGTTCACAGCATCTCCACGCAGCCCAATATGGAGCAACAACAACAGTCCTTCACCGACGCGCCCGAGCTGTATTCGGCACAGTGGGTTAACAATGACCAAAGGCAGCAGAGGAGCCTTGCGCCTGCGTCCCGGATAACGCCCGAGGAGATGATGCTCCACGCTGCTGCAACCCAGATACAAAACGCCCGCGAATATTCCATGCCTCCCGGAATGGCTGCGTCGATGAGCCAGACGAGCGCGCACATGAGCCATTCCATGTCGTTTCAGCAGCACGCCATGACGAGACATCCCTTGCCGTCCGAAAGCTTTGCCAACAACAGCTTCACTGATGACAGCCAGATGATAGATCGCGACGAAGACGGTGACTCCTTGGCGGGAGCGATGGGCATGCAAAAATCGAGCTCCGCCAGGTCCAGTGCTAACAATGAGTTGGAGATGCGTCACCTGTTCAACGCAAACAAGCACCGCGGCTTGCAGGATGTTGCCAGCGAACTGCACGGCAATGAGCGAGGGCCTAACTCCGAACGTACCCGACAAGTCTTCGCCATGCTCTGGATCAACTCAGTATGCAGCAAGGGCAAGGGATCTGTGCCGCGAGGCCGCGTATATGCCAACTACGCGTCCCGGTGTGCTACCGAGAGGATCACCGTCTTGAACCCTGCCAGCTTCGGTAAACTTGTTCGCGTCCTGTTCCCTGGCCTCAAGACCAGGCGACTTGGCGTGAGAGGAGAGTCTAAGTACCATTACGTCAACTTTTGCCTGGTTGATGACCAACCTGACCTCCGCGAGCCCGAGCCTCACATCCCCGTGGCCATATCCGAACCCACCCGTTCCCAGAGCTTTAGCGCTGTTCCCCCCAAATCTCAGCCAGCGAAAGCCGTTCTGCCGTCGCCCGATGTCACTAAGCGGCCAGAGAGCCCAGCTCAAGCCTCGCATGGCCACTCAAGATCACATAGTTTCTACAGTCATCCGAACGTGACCAGTGCGGATCATTTGAACTCGTCTACCACGAAAACATCGCTCCAATTCTCATTCCCTTCGGAAGCGGATGAGGCCCTTCTTCAATCCACCGAACCTCTTGTGCTACCCCGGATGGAGCCTTTCTTACCTAATGGAACTGACCCCGATGCTGCGAAGAGCCTATCTGCTCTGTATAGGTCGCATTGCACCTCCCTCGTCGAGTGCGTTCGCTACTGCAAGGAGAAGACTTTTTTCCATCTTTATACGTCCTTCCAGGGCACGTTGACAATGCCAGTGCAGAAGCTACTTGGCCACCCTAGTCTCGCCCCCTGGGTTGAAGAATGCGACTTCATTCTCTATCAACGCATGCTTAGGATCATCTCCGGCCTCACCCTCCAGGTCGTGCCCAAACCGGTTCTTGACACGCTACGTAACATCTCGGAGCGACTCGTGCCCCATATTCGGGAAGCTTTCCAGGGGCAGCCGCACCACGTTATTCGGGCCAAGGAGGCGCCAGCGACCATATTCGCTGCTCTGTTGGACCGAGCCCTGAGAGTCAATCTCACCGCCCATGCGGCGGCCAACATGTTGTCGAACCCGGCCAATCGCGACCAGATGTACCTCGACTGGATTACCATGGTGCGTGTACGCAAGGTGGCCGAGTGTGTACCTACTCGGGGCATGGATGACCTCGTCAGCTTGCTCGTCTCCGAACTTCGGGACCTCCTTAGCCCTCAGAACGTACCCTGGGAGGTGGAGTGCTTGACTGTTTACGGCGACATTGCCCTGAGAAACGGCCGCCAACCGGATGCTGAGAGCACAGGAGAGCACAACGGCCAGAACGTACTGGAACGCTGGGTCGGCTTCCTCAAGTCACTACCAACGCGGTTTCCTTATGCGTCACACACAGAGATTGTTTACTCGGTTCAAAGAGTTGGCACGGCAGTGATGCGGGATCTTACCATGGCCCAGGGTAAGAGCTTCGGTTCTTGGTGGGTCACCAAGTGCTGGATTGACGAGATGACCTGTTTCCTCGCCGAGCAAGGCGGGTTCCTACAGATGAGGACATCTGGCGCATCGGCGGCTCTCGTCAACACCCAGTCGGCTACTCAGGAGGCGAGCCACCAAGGGTCTCGGTATAGCACCGGCGGCGAAGATTTCAACTTTTCAAGCCTCCCCCAAGCACAACCTGACAAGGCGCCGTTTCCGCCATCAACGAGCCAAAGTCAGGTTGATTCCACGGGAAACAACCCGGATGACAGTGGAATCGGCATCCGGACACCGGAGGAGGACTTCCCCATGGAAAAATACACCTTCTCACACTCGGAGGTCAACCAAGCACTACTTGCCAACGCCGATTTACAACAATGACGAAAGGAGATCGAACTATAGTCGCACCTGGCAAACCAGGTGTCTTGTATCGATATCCGCCTGTCAGACGGCCTCTTGCAGAGGCTCTATGCCAGATGAGGATTGTCGACAACAGTGCGATGACGATGGCACGACTGGACGATTGTATGAGCGCGGAAAATTCTGTAGCCATTTGACTGGAAGAACGTCATTGGGTACTGCGCCTGTTTTATTCTAGGACAGGCTTTGGGTTTATTCTTATTTTTTTGGATTTCGCGGTTTGGTGTTTAACTTGCTGGGCGATTACGGTCGGTATCTGCATTTGGTTCTCGTGGGTTTGCTATACCAATTGTGTCTGGTTAGGGGCAAAGCAACGGTACCTGAATTATACGTTCATCTAGTTGTAATACATCCCGATAGGGAGAGAGCATTGAGCAGACAACCATGTGCCGCTGCGTTCTTCAGATGTGCATGCAGGGTGAGCCTTCTACGATAATCGCCATAGCAAGCCGATGAGCGTTCCGCTTCTCCTGACATGCGATATTTCCTGCAGCAGCCGTTGGGCGAGCACAAGGTTGTATCCAGTTGCAGCGGTAACGAGCCGAAACAGCGTCAATTGCGGTTATCTAGACTGGGGCGTGATATACCCATATACCTATTACTTCGTCATCGGATGATCGCCAATCCGCTGCTCTTCGCGTGCATGCCGGGATTGGGCAACTAAAAGTTTTCTCTGTAGGTAGTTTCATAAGCTCTGCACGACACTTGCATGTGGAGTGCGCTGGACGGTTTCCAACCGCAAAGCCAACGATGGAGGTTCGAAGACCTCAGTGGATGTCCTCCGTCCCCGTGGGGTCCGGACATGAGAACGAAAGAGTTTGTAAACCTTTAAATGCGAGGTTATCAAATAACAACGGCAATATCTAGAGATCAGGATCGATCTGAGTAGAAAAGTCGCTCGGTCCATTGAAGGGTTCGTATGAGTCAGGCAAGCAACTTGTTACAGGTAGGTAGGTACGGGCAGCCTACGAAGTACCTAGGTAGGTCATTCAGTGCTCGACAAGCCGCAGGGCAGGGTACTTGGAGGTGTCTCATTGGAACCTGACCAATATGCGATGGTCATTGGGTGTGTGTTCGTGCAGCAGCATGGAACCGGCATTCGAACGAGACTCCGGCCCGCCTCCGATATTCCGGAAGCGCAAATTTCGGTGTCTGCATATCCTGCATAAACATCGCCGATTTCGTCGCTCCATACATCCCACCTTCGCCCCATCTCACCACCTCAATTCTAGGCTAATCCACCCCACCATAACCATCTTGGAGACAGCGATTTCACCATATTCGAGCCCGTTCTCCTCTCACTTCCTAACTATACCAGTCATACAAACATACTGTCTCCTACCTTCAAATTACGTTTTCACCTTACCCGCGCTGCGCATACTACATTGGACATTTTGGTCGTGGGTTGACGACCCAGTCTAACCGTTGCCGTCTTTCTTTTCTTCCCTTCTTTTTTTTTTCTTTTTCCCGCACCTCTCGAACACAGTGCCCCGCTTCCCGGTGTATCCGCTCCAGTACGGTAGATTCATACACTCACTCATACCCAAAACGAGCCGCTTTCCGTTTCGTGCACAATCATTGAGACGCCATGAATAGTCAAACAGTAGGGAACACTTCCAGCAACGGCTGGGTCGTGCAAAAATTCGGCGGCACAAGCGTGGGAAAGTTTCCTGACAAGGTTCGTCCGCCACTACTCAAAAGTTGTCGTCACTGCTGCATGAGATTGACCGAGGACATTTGCATTACAGATTGCAGTGGATATTGTCCGGTAAGGATAGAGCCTCGTGAGCGAGAATGAGGCCCCACTGAACTTTCTGCGTGATAGGGCAAGTCTGTCAAAGAACAATGTCGTCGTCGTGTGCTCAGCAAGAAGCACGGGTAACAAGGTCGAGGGCACCACCAGCCGGTGAGTCACCCAGCAGCGCATTAGACCCCGACACCCGGACTGACCGCTCGAGATAGGTTGCTGGGTGTTTTCAACAAGCTCAGGGGAATTGCCGCGCCCACGAGCGCCGAAGAGTTGCAGAATGAACTCATGGACCAGGCCAAGGGCCTCATTGACGACATCTGCAAGGACCATGTTTCAGCAGTCAAGACCTTTCTGAGCAACCCGGAGCTGCAGGCGTCTCTGGAACAGGAGATCCGCGATGAGTGCCAGGAGCTGGTCGAGTACATTGTAGCGGCGCGAAGATTTAACCTCGAAGTCAACTCAAGATCCAAGGACCGCTGCATCAGCTTTGGCGAGAAGCTCAGCTGCAGATTTATGGCCGCGTTGCTGAAAGATCTCGTACGCAACCGGTATCTCACTCCCGTATCTTGATAGTTGAGACTAACCAGCTGTTAGGGTGTCGCTGCGGAATATGTGGATCTGAGTGACGCGTTCCATTATGATGCCACTGGCCATTTGGACCAAAGTTTCTACCAAGATGCTACTGCCGTGCTGCGGAAAAAGATCATGGCTTGCGAGGATCGGGTCCCTGTGGTCACTGGCTTCTTTGGAAACGTGCCCGGGAGTCTAATTGATGGTGACATCGGTCGAGGCTACACCGACCTCTGCGCGGCGCTGTGCGCAGTCGGCCTTAAGGCTGACGAGCTCCAAGTGTGGAAGGAAGTCGACGGCATCTTTACCGCAGACCCTACCAAAGTCCCTACAGCACGCTTGCTGCACTCCATCACACCGTCCGAGGCGGCAGAGTTGACTTTCTACGGTTCCGAGGTTATCCACCACTTGACTATGGACCAGGTTATCCACGCTTCACCCCCTATCCCTATTCGTATCAAGAACGTCAAGAACCCCAGGGGAGTGGGCACTATCGTTGTTCCCGACCCTGTCCTCACCGCTGGCCACCAGATCCAGCGTTCAAAGCCCTCGGATCGCTCCATGACCCAGAAGCCTAAGCGGCCGACGGCTGTCACGATAAAAGACAAGATCTCTGTCATCAATGTGCACTCCAACAAGCGATCTATCTCTCACGGCTTCTTCGCCAAATTGTTCTCCATTCTCGACAACAACCAGGTCTCGGTCGACCTCATCTCCACGAGTGAGGTTCATGTGTCCATGGCTATCCACACCGGCAATTCGGAGAGCGGCAGCTTCGATAAGGCTCGGCTCGAGCTGGAGGAGTGTGGCGACGTCAGCGTGCTGCACGATATGGCTATTTTGAGTCTGGTCGGTGCAGAGATGAAGAACATGATTGGTATTGCTGGACGCATGTTCTCTACCCTGGGAGAGCACAACGTCAACATGGAGATGATTTCACAAGGTAAGTTGGCCGCAAGATTATGAGAGTTGTATGTCTGACTTTGCCATAGGTGCTAGTGAGATCAACATATCTTGTGTTATCGACGCACGCGACGCCACCCGGGCCATGAACATCCTGCACACGAATCTGTTCACCTTCCTCGACTAGACGAGGAGGGCGTTGTTCTGCAGCTGTGTGGTTGGTGTTTGTTTATCTGGTGTCTTGTATAGAGCGAGACCTGTTTTTGGAATAGAGCATTTATATCTTTTTTTTCCCCCTTTTACTCGCATGGTCATTTCAAAAATGGAGCATGAGATTGCATATGGAATGGACAAATAAAAAGGGTCGGAGAGCATGGATAGAGTAATTTGAATTCTTTGTTCTAGCTGACGCTTATGTCAAATTGATGGAGTCGAATGCATTGTGGGTTATCCCAGAGGGAGAAAAAATTCAATAAAACCTGTGTCGATTCGAAGAGAGCGTGGCAATGGTGGTCGTTGTTGAAGCCATTCGCACGCCGGACGACTGATCAAACTACTGCCGTAGTAACCAGGTAGGACGTAAATATTTACCAGCCGGCCGACGTCGGCAAGGTGGGATACAGTGTTTCGCGCCGCAATCGCACACGGACTTGCCCCGCCACGCCATACCCCTGCAGTATTGATAAGATAAACGTGCCTTGAAGGATCCACCCAACAAAGCGCGTGTGGTCTTCATTGCTGCTGTGCGATGACCACCTTAACTACATCAGATCCGCCAGAACGGTTTCTCATCGTCAACATCCGATCTTCGAATCCCATCAACGCACACTTACAAGCCTTCCTCTCTCTCCCAACCGAACCGAGCGAACACAACATCGACACACTACTCAAGCAAATCGCCCACCATGCCAAAAGCAGAAGTCGGCTCAACGAGGTACCTGAACAACAAGCTCAAGAGCAAAGGCCTGCAGCGGTTGCGATGGTACTGCCAGGTTTGCGAGAAGCAGTGCCGCGATGAGAACGGCTTCAAGATGCACACGCAGTCCGAGTCGCACGTGCGGCAAATGCTCGTCGTGGGCGAGGACCCGAAAAAGTTCCTCAATGAGTACAGCAACCAGTTCCTTCGCGACTTCACTCAGCTGCTCCGCACGGGTCACGGCGAGAAGCAGGTGCAGATAAACCACTTTTACCAGGAGTACATCGCCAACAAGGAGCACGTGCACATGAACGCGACGAAATGGCCCAGTCTGACCGAGTTCGCGAAGCACCTGGGTCGTGAGGGCATCTGCCGTGTCGAGGAGAACGAAAAGGGTATTCACATCTCGTGGATCGACAATTCGCCCGAGGCGCTCAAGAGGCAGGAGGCGTTGAGGAGAAAAGAGGCGCAGGATCGGGGGAACGAGGAGGTTGAGCAGATGATGATCCGGGAACAAATCAAGAGGGCACAGAAGGCGGCCGAGGCGAGGGGGGAAAGGGCGGATAACGAAGAAGAGAGGGAGAGGGGACTGCGGAGGGCCGAGGGAGAGAAGATTTCTCTGTCCTTTGGGGCCAAGCCTACGGCTGCGCCGAAGGAGCCTTCAATGTCTGCCGAATCCGAGGCCTCGATGACAGCGCCAGTAGACGTGGCAGAAAAGAAGGACGATAAACCTGCCGACAAACAGCCCGAGAAGCCGTCGCTCGGTGGTGGCCTGTCGCTCAAGATGACGGCGAAACCGCAGACGAAGAACGTCTTCGCCCAGGCCAAGAAGAATGCCCTTTCTGGCGGCGGCAAGAAGACGACTATCGAGCAGCCCAAGAAGATGAGCGAAGCCGAAAGGATTATGAAGGAAGACATGGAGAGGCAAGAGAAGAAGCGGCCAAGAGGGGGGTCTGGGTTTGGAGGGGTTTCGTTCAAGAAGCAGAAGATGGACCAGCAGTGATTTTGTTGCCTGGTCCCGATACGAGGCAAACAACAAACGGCGTCTGGGGAACAAGGTGCATCATTCATGCAACAAAGAATAATGGGCGGTCAGCATGGGTATTGGGTACACAATCTTTTTTTGTCTTGTTAATAGATACCATCGAGAACCGATTTGATTCCATGTGAAGAGAGAAGTCTTCCCCGACTCCATGACCAGCCTTTCTTTAACACCCCTGAACGCCGATACGTAAAGCATAGCCCGTTTGTCTTCCTAGACCCTTAATTGTCGACTTCCGTCTCCGTCCCGTCGCGCCTGCGATACAGTCAGCAAGACTTGTCCCAGTTCCACTAGTGCGCGCTACTCGCGAAGCCGCGAAGCATAAGAAACACGGCCAGGGGGGCACCTACGGGATATAGTGTATCCTATACTCCTCCTCGAGCGTGTTGCGAATCTCGTCGGGCAGCTGGCCCGAAACCTTGATGGCGTAGACGCCGCGGACGTAGCCGTCGAGGCGCTGCCACTTGGCGACCCAGGACCGCTTCGGATTCGCGAGGGTGATAAGGCCCTCGAAGACCTGCGAGGTGCAGCTCTCAATCTGGTCCTGGGAGCCGGCCATGTGCAGGAACTCTTCGCAGTTGGGGCAGCCCTCGTCGCGGAAGCGCTATTCGCACGGGTGTCAGCCGTCTCATTCACCACCGCGGGCGATTTCCCCTCTCTCTTTATCCGGGGATTGGAAGGGGAAGGGGGGGGCGTACAGCGTAGGTCATGACGATGGAGCAGACCATGCAGGCGCGAAGGTAGCGCTGCTGGCCGGGGGCGACGAAGTTATCAGCCGACATTTTCCTCCAATCGATTTGGGGGAATGGAGGGTATCTCGTGTGATGGGTCGGCCGTCGGGGGCGTCTACGGGGAACAATCGCGTCCCTTCGTTGTCGTCGAGATTTCGTTTTGTGAGGCTGCCGTGTGAGAGAGACTGGGTGGACGTTGCAGCTCAAGATCGAAAGTAGCGTAGCTCCGGGTGGGAAGCTTACAGTTTGTACTCACGGATAGTTGGCTTTGGACGATATATGCAATTATCGGGACGTTGGGTGCACTCCACCAGAGGAGAGCTCTTCAGTCGCGCTCGAATCACATTACATGCCACTCACTCACTCATTCATTGACTCGCCCGCCCACTGACTCAACTTAATTTGAAACCTACTTTTCAAAATCAACGGCGTTTCGGGAAGGAATATCATTCATTCTCATCAAGCGGAATACAAAGTATAAAACGATAACGACAAAAACCCCACGGTTACCCAAGGACCACCTCATACCCACCATGACGATGCAAAACTCGTCCACAGGAGAAGCATCCTCCAGCGCCCCTCGAGGAACAGGCCAAAGGTCCCACGAGCTCCTTACATGTACCATAAAGACCCCTCCCTACTCATACGTCCGGCTCGAGCTTGTTGTCGACTCTCCGCAACTACACGAGGCAGCGGAGGGCTTGGATAACATTCAAGTGCGCTCATACTGCACCGCCGCTCTACGCCAGTTCCTCGGCGCCACGGGCTCCGCCATCCCCGTCGACATCCTCAAGGTTGACGGCAACCAGTGTTGGCTGCGCGTGCCCCGTCCGGACCTTAGCCCCTTCGCCGCCGCCATCACGGCGTGGGCCGGCGTCACGGAGCAGGGGGGCCGGCGCGTGCTCCAGGTGAAGCAGTGCTCGGACTACCTGGGCGCCATGGCCGGCGCCGAAGGCCAGGACAAGCTCTGGTCTCCGTGAACAGGGGGTTTGTCATTTCTCGGAATCTGCGGAAGAACGGGATTTGGCCAGACACCCAAACATCATCTTATTCTAGAGCCGGGGGTTATGGTTGAACGGTCCGCCAGGAATGAAGAACTCCAAATTATCCGCATGGCCAAACCCACGCTGCGACCTAGCCCCCCGTATATGCGCCGAACGTATGCACCGTGTATGCTTGCGGATGCAAAATTTATCACTTCATATCCCCGGGATGACGAGTCCGCGGTACTCGTCAACTTACATCAGAGACGACATGAGAGAACTCTGGGCATAAGCCTGGGGAGGTGGAAAGCGTCAGCGTTGGCGTCAGGTCAACGAAAAAAGGGAGAGGATGGGCCAAGCCTTACCATGGGTTTGATGTCCGGGTGAGGAACAGCGTCGAACTGCTTGAACTTCAACTCGTAGTCGGGGCCGATGTTGATGTACGCTCCCCTGTTCTCGGTGGAGTCGCAGTATCTGGGTGCGGAGAAGACTACGGGAGTTAATCTCGGGCGTAAAGCAATCCAAGGAGGACTAAACTCACCAGTGATGCAACGTCCGTCGTGCTGCACCTCGTAGCCATCCATGCGAACTTCGTGACTGCGAATGACGGCCTCGAGACCGTTGTTCTCGCAGAACTTCTTGGTGACATCGGGGCCGAACTGCATGCCAACGCCACGCTTGCTCGGGCCGCGGCCGGGCTCATCCTGGGGGTCCGTCCACAGCATCTCCATCATAAGACCGGCCTGGCCAGGCTGGCGCTGGGCGTGTCTGTCGAGCTTTCGGATGTCGTCCAAAGTAACCTTGTCGTCTGAGAACAGGCCACCGTGCAGCACAAGGTACTTGGTGCCGATCAGAGTCGCAAGAGGAAGGGCCGAGAAACTCTCGGAGAAGAGCTTGAAGATTCTGCATTTCGACAGTTAGTAGGTATAGTTTCACGAGCAACCGGTTCGTTGGCGTACCTCTCGTTGTACTTAGCCTTGCACTCGCCCTCAAAACCGTAGACACGGTTCATGTCGTCGGTCTCATGGTTTCCACGGTTGAGGAAGAAGGCCTTGGGACGCAGCCACTTGTAGGCGTAAAGCAACAGGGCGATCTCAGTGGACCATGATCCACGATCGACGAAGTCACCGTTGAATAAGTAATAATGCTTGTCATTGGGCGTTCCGTTGAGACGGAACAGCTCCATCAGATCGAAGTACTGGCCTGCGTTGTATGTCAGTACCTTCCTTAGTCAAACCTCACCGCACTTAGCCTACCGTGTGTGTCACCGCAGACGGTGAGCTGGGTACCCTCGGGGATCTCCATCTCTACCATCGTCGGTTCGTCATAGACAAGCTTCTTGACAGCCAGGATGATCTGGTAGACATATTTCTTGTGGATTTTCTTGCCGGTCTTGAATCGCTCCGTCATGTCGTCGATGAACTCCTGAGTCATCTCCTCTCCCAATCTAACACCGTCGTAGTCCTCCTCGACGGTGATGGCGCTGAGATCGAGGCCTTCAGCGGCCGAGGGCTCATCGCCGACCTCGATGGCAGCGAAGAAATCCAACTTGCGCACAATCTTTTTGCATTCATCCAGCTTCAACTTAGCATCCTTGTTGTTCGGGTCGAGTCGTAAGCACTCCTTGAAGTCCGCGACGGCATCTTTGGGTCTGAGGCAAGCAGTTTGGGCAAGCCCTCGGCGGAAATAGGCCTATGTTCGCATCGACGTCAGCACTTAGGCCAGGCTCCGGGCCTCATTCGACACTACCCACCTTCACAAACTTGGGGTTCAGCTCGATCGCCTTGGTGCAATCCGCAATAGCATAGCCGTATGCCTCAGCTTTGATGTTTGCCTACTCGGATTGGAAGTCTGGTTAGTCACGCGGGCAACTCAACAGCTTCGCTTCGGCGCAGGAGGATGAGGTGACGGACCTGAGCGCGGTTGGTGTAGAAAGTCGGCTCCTTATCGTTCAGCTCAATGGCCTTGGTATACAACTCGATAGCAGTCGGCCAATCATGGGCAGCAAAAGCTTTGTTGCCATCATTTTTAAAGGCTACTGCCCGCTCTTCCGGCGTAGACATGGTGGAAGCGGCGGCTGTCTTCTTTTGCAAGATCAAAGTGTGGGGTAGGTTATCGCAGGCAGACGATGGAGGGGGAGAGAGGACCTATCCTATCTCTTTGGCACACGAACTGTGTCCTGCTTCTGGCGCGAAACTTGGGTGAGGCGTCCAAAAAACAAACCCGAGGTGCAAAATGGGACGGGAAAAGAAGGGTGGAATCAGCAAAATTTGTACAGCATGCGGCAGAAGCACTTCGAATGTCGGAGGATCTGGGCCTGGGGGTTCAAGCCCAGAAAGCTTCCAGGTCCTTTCGCGACGGTTCGGCCCTTGAACCCTCCTCGGAGCTAACTGGCTAGCCCAGCTGGAAGACAGTGCCGTCGCACGGTACAGATGCGTTACGGTGTGGTGGGCACTCAATTGCCACTTCTGGAGCCCAGCAGGGACACTGAAAGGGTCACACAACGGCCTGGGCCCTCTCTCCATTTCCTTCTTTGGAGCATCTACACGCCACTAACAAGCACGAGCATGACATAAGAGACACACTGCACTGCCGGGGAAAGCTTTCCGGTCGTACCGAGCAACAATACGCCTCGGTAGTCGCATATTAGTCCTGCCGCACGGGTTCTTATCGCTTATCGGAACGTCATTTCGCAACGAACGGGAGCGCAACCCGGATTTCGAGATTGGCCTCAATTCATCTTCCTCGACCTGCGTGCCCTCAGCGCGGAACCCGACACATGGCCGTAAAGGCACACCCACCACGCGTTTAAAAGCAACAAACCGGCATTGTTATTTCTCAAACCCCTCTGGATTCCAATGATGGAGTCGCAAGACCGCGCATCGAATGCGCTCGTGCGCAAGCGGACCGACACCGAACTGATGCCGGCACCGCCGCCTGTAAAAAAGATCAAGCGCCCAAAAAAGGTCATAGACGAAGACACATATACCGATGCCCTCTCGCAGATCATCGCACGCGATTTCTTTCCCGGGCTTCTGGAGGCCGAGACACAGCAAGAGTACCTCGACGCCCTCGAATCCAAAGACAAGGCATGGATATCCAACGCTGGGCAGCGACTACAGCGCGTGATGACTCCAGGGAGGCAAAGGCTGAAAAGACCGATGCCTCTCGAACATGGAGGACGCACACCCTCAGCATACGGTGCAGACACGCCATTGTCAGTTGTATCGACAGTTGCTGAAGCGCCAAAACCAGCCGTGGACACCAATATGAGCCTAGCCAATTTCCAAGCCACCTACACAAGCGAGGATAACGAGAGCTTTTACAAGCTTATGGACAAGCAAACCCAGAAAAAGGCGGAGAAATACGCGTGGATATGGCGGGGAAACAAGCTGCCGTCCAAGCAGATGATAAAACAGGCCGAGGTGGAAGCAAAGTTGTTGGAAACAAGGAGCTTGGCCGATGATGGGTGGAAGCGGGATAGACTGGCCATCAAGAATGCTGATGACCGTCCAGCGCGACCTGATACTTGGAACGCGAACCCGAAAAACAATCTAATGTTTGGGCCGGACGGTGTTGAGGACGTCTACGAAAGCCCAGCTCAGAAGGCCCAAGCCCAGTCGAGGATGGCACCGAAATCGATCAACTACCAAAACACGAGGATACCACAGCCAGTGATCGTCGAGCGACCGCCATCTCCAACCATGACCGCCGTCAGAGATGCGATAGCTGGCAAAACGCGGAAAGAGGACCAGGCTTCGAGCGCCCTGGGTGGAGGAGAAACACCTAGGGTGAACGGATATGCGTTCGTTGATGACGAGGACGATGAAGAGGTTCTGCCAGCTCCCGTAATCCGTCTAGGCCCGGGCGATGCCACGCCGAACCCTTTCAAGTTGCAAGACCAGAGGAAGAGAGAGAGCTTGCACCACCGGCTGGTTGAGCGGGCAGCGCAGTCCAAACGAGAGTCTGCAAAAAATGGGCTGACCGGAAAGCTGGAGAGAACACCAGTGCCTAAATTTCCGTCCAGTCCACGAGTCTCGAATGGCCTTACTCCGGCCGCTCAACGATTGTGGAGCAAGATTGGCAGTCCAAGACCTGGGAGCCCAAGTCACTCTTCTTCAAAGACAACGCCCATGAGGGCAAGGGGCTCACTTCTGAAAGGCGGGTCCTCAGTGAGGCGGGAATAGTTGCTAATAGAATCATCTGTAATGAATAATGACGGACGCGGAGTCACAAATAGACCAAGGATACCGCTTCAATAGAAGAAGTCTTTAGACTGCTTAACTTAAATTCAAACGCTTCCCACTTCACAACATCAGTTCGGAGAGTGATGGTAAATCCGGTCTTCCACCTAAGATTAGTAGCTACTTGTAATCAGTCAAAGTGGAAGGCTGTAAACCCCGAACTACTAGTGTATGAACTCGGCATGTGACTTATATGACCATTGTGGTAAGGGATACGGCCCCAGATTCGCTTAGCGCATAATCCTAGTCATCGACAAATATGCATATAAAAAGCTCGTCGAGCTATTGTCATCTCTAGATGCATATAGCATCCACTCAATTTTCCCTCCATGACGAACTCGACTTAAAGATCCCGGACGTTCCTGAATAACGTGAGACGACCCGGAATTTTGGGGGGTGACTATCTACGACAGGCGCTCGGAGTGAGCGGAAATTGTTTCGTCCCGATGAGATTTGCCGACTTCGCTGTCGATTTGGCAGCGGTACTCAGCGCATCGCGCTCCGTGGCATCCAAGCATGTCGCGCTGAGAGGTCGACAGCTTGAGAGCTTCACAAAGGCGTCAAGCTTGACGCGCAAATCCCCGACGGCGCCTCAGCATACACGAGACAACGCCACAATACAGACAACAGCGACCACGCCCGAGGACGTGAAATCCCAAACACAGGCTATAACAGAAGTGTTTCCCTCTCAAAATGAGGCTACCCCTCAAGCCACTCACATCCCACACACAGCTCCAAGCAACTTTCAGCCCCCTAATATCAGAAATGCATCCGGAATTCGACCAAACTCTGGATCCGTTCTCTCCCAGTTAAGGCAATCGAGCCCTTCTGGATTTCCCTGGTCAGATGCGTCGCCATTGGAGGCAAAGGAGATAGATGCCAAGGCCTCCGCAGCAACTCCTGCAAGCACGGGGCCGACAGCCTCATACGGCGCCCCTGTATCCGAGGACCTCGACGACCTTCCACCAGGTGTCAACGTCAATATCTTCCATAGCTCCCGTGCAGCTAAGCTGCTGGGTAAGGATGAAGACCAGGCGAAGGTTACTTTTGGGAACCGGAAGAAGCTTAAGCCCGTTGGTCTGCCAGAATTTGTTGATTTCTCCAGATCGGTGAAGGATAGCCAGAGGGCTACGTCTTCGCCAGAGACCAACCCAAAGTCTACTCAGGAAGCCCCCGAACCCCGCGTGGTAAAAAATGGCACCGTCAGTAAAGCCAAGCCGATTACTTCGGAATCCCAAGAAGCCGGGGTGCCTGTCCCAACGTCTGCTCAACCGGTTTCGAAAGACGAGCCGTCGATTGAGGCTGTTCTGGAAGCCGTGGCTGACCAGCCAGCCCCACCAGCATACGTCCTCCGAGAATCAAAAGTGCCGGCTACCCGTTTGAGCAGGCTTTGGAACTACGGCGGCCTAGCAGCGGGCATGATGGGGGGTGCCATCACCGAAAGCATCGGCAGGGCGTTCGGCGGTAAGGGCGAAGGTTCCGTGTTGCTCAGCGCTGGCAATATGGAGAGACTCGTTGCAAAGCTCTCGAGAATGCGCGGCGCCGCCTTGAAGATGGGCCAGATGATGAGTTTCCAGGACACCAAGATGCTTCCCGGACCGATCCAGGAGGTCTTGCAGAGGGTGCAGGACCGCGCCGACTACATGCCGGCATGGCAGAGGGATAAGGTCATGGCGGCAAACCTGGGTCCGGAATGGCGCGATCTCTTCGAAGAGTTCGAGGAGAAGCCCGTCGCCGCCGCATCCATCGGCCAGGTCCACCGAGCCACGCTCAAAGATGGCGGTCGTAAGGTTGCCGTCAAGATCCAGTTCCCGGGTGTCGCCGACTCCATCAACTCGGATCTCGACAACCTCAGCATCCTCCTGACAGCGACCAAGCTTCTCCCCAAGGGCTTGTATCTGAACAAGACCATCGACAACGCGCGGCTCGAACTCGGCTGGGAATGCGACTACGAGCGCGAGGCCCAGTGTCTGGTCCGCTACAAGGAGCTGCTCGCCGACGAGCCCGATACGTTCCTCGTGCCCAATGTACACCTCCAGGCCTGTGGCAAGAACGTCCTAACAATGGACTGGATGAAGGGCGTCGGCGTCACTCGGGTAAAGTCGTTTACCCAAGAGCAGAAGGACTGGATTGGCACGCAGATCCTACGCCTTTGCCTGCGGGAGATCACCGAGTTCAAATTCATGCAGACGGACCCCAACTGGACCAACTTCCTCTACAACGCGGCGACCAACAGGCTCGAGCTGCTCGACTTTGGCGCCTCGAGGGAGTACCCCGACGAGTTCGTTACGCAATACGTTGAGCTGCTCGCAGCGGCCTCGAAGACGGACCGCGAGGGTGTGAAGCAGCTCTCGGAGAAGTTGGGGTACCTCACCGGCCACGAGAGCAGGACCATGGTGGATGCGCATGTCAAGTCGGTGCTCACCCTGGCGGAGCCCTTTCTCGACTCGGCCCCTGAGGTTTATGACTTCCATGACCAGACCATCACCGAGCGGGTCAAAGCTCTCATCCCCGTCATGCTGCACGAGAGACTTGCGCCGCCGCCAGAGGAGACCTACAGCTTGCACCGCAAGCTGAGCGGTGCCTTTTTGCTCTGTGCAAAGCTTGGAAGCAGGGTTAGATGCCGCGAGATGTTTGCGGAGAGTTTGAGGAAGAAAGGGTACACTGTTTAACGCAGTACCAGGGGCCGCCTCTCCGATACCACTCTGTACCATTTTGTATCATAGCTGTACGACCAACAGGTGTAGACCCTGCCACATCACAGGAATTATAGATAAAAGATGTCAAGTCCGAGGCCTGGGGAATCATGTGTATTTTCATCTGACGGAAATGCCCTCCAACTTTTTACTCCCTCGGCCTTCTCTGCAGTTGGTCAAGCTCCTTCCTCTCCCTGCCAACGACCTTCTTCCTCTTCCGCTCGATCGTCCGGTCGATCTGCTTCTTCTTCATGCCGGCGAACTGATCCATCAGGAACCTCTTCTTCTGCTCCGACTTCTTGAGGTAGAATGGTTGCTTGCCCTGCTTGACGAGCTCCTTCTCCTTGCGCTTGTGCTCCGCCACGACCTCGGCCTCGCGCTGCTTGCGCTCGCGCGTCTTGATCTTGGACTCCATCGACAGCAGCAGCCGCTTCATCTCCTCCTTCTTACCGGCGTCCTTGGTCTTCTTGATCTCGGCCCGCAGCTCCCGGATCTCGTCCTTGCGGTAGTCGTCCAGGAACGCGTACGCCTTGCGGGCCTTGGCTTCGTCTATGGGCCCGCTGAGCGGATCGAACCGCGGGTCGCGCACTTCCATCTTGGGCACGGCGATAACCTCGCGGCGCCGCGAGACGGGCTTCTTGCTCGACTGTTCCGTCGGCGCGTGTTTGCTCGTGCGCTTGGCGGTGTGAGCATTGTAGTTGGGCTTCCTGCCGACTTCCTCCGGGCCAGAGTCCGAATCGGATTCCGAATCCGATGGCTCCACGCCTCTCTTACGCCGTCTGTTGGACGCGGGCATGGAGGCCTGAGCTTTTGCGAGGGCGCCGAAGGAGACTGATGAGATGTCGATGTTTGACTTCTTTGGTGGGGGTGATCCGTCAGACTATTGACTTATCAGTGACGATCCCTGTGTTTCCAAACAAGTAAATATTACACACGTTTTCGTCCTCATCATCTTGGCCCATCTCATCCTCATCGCCTTCACTGAGGTCGTCGCCGTCCTCATCCATCTCCTCAGGCTCACTGCTGACATGCTCGTCGACTTCGGGCTCCGCCTCTCTCCGGGGTCGCACGCGGCGCTGGAGGCCAGAAACGCCTTGTTTCCTCTTTCCTGATGACATAATGTGCGATATGGTGTGACAACGGGTTGGGTAGTGGCTAAGTGAAGATCGATGTGAAGGCCAGAACTTCACATGAGAGGTTCAAAGTCGTCCATCGGACCCCGCTGAAAAGTTGAGCTGGCCAATCCAGTCGTCTCATCACTCGGACGGGTACTTATCGATAAGATGCAGGCTGAGAAGGGGATTTCTCCAGTACGACAGGAAACACGTCCCTTTTGAACAAACCTCTCTCCACAATCCCCAAGACAGAAAGGTCCTAGTATACTGCGCATTAGGTTGGCAAGCCCGCGGCGGATTTACATTGAGAACTGACGCCAACTTGTGATTTCTTTCTTGCCAAAACCGACCCAATTGCTATCTCAACCGCAACGGCTCTCTGAGGTCACACCCACGCATGCGCCCCTCCATCGCCAGGGTCTTCATCAGATCGCAACAACCTGTCCAGTGCCGCTTCACCCAAAGTAACGCCGCCGCCGTCGCCGCCGCCACGCGCCAACACCCAAACACACAACCCCGTGATCCGGCACAAAGTCAAGAGTGCGATCACAATCGGCGGCCTACTTTGTCCCTTCCCACTAGTGCGATTCTGATCCACGACGCCGCAAAGATGGACATGCCCAACATGCAGTGGTGGGCGAAGCCGGCCCCGACCATGATCGCCCCAGCGAACCAGCAGCTCAGTAGCAACGGATTCACAATACCCGGCCTCGGGAACGTCGCCAATGCTCCAATACCCGCGTCTTCTTCTCGGGCGAACCCCCTTCCCGCCCGACCTGTTACCGCAGACCACATCACAAACCGAAAGGGACGCCGCACGCCGTACGTCCCACCTCACCTTCCCCTACCTCCTCTGCGCAAATCTCTGAGACTGACAATCCCGCAGGGCTGGCGCCGCATCAGTCAGCCGCGATAAAATCCTGGCCCCCAGCGCGGCGTCCGGCGGCGTCCCCGACCCGACTCCCGAATACATGCACCGCGCGTTTCTCCCGTCGGTCGTCCTCCCCACCCCGCGCCCCATCCTCGTCGTCATGGACCTCAACGGCACGCTCCTCCACCGCCCGAACCGCCGTCAGGCGACCTCCTTCGTCGAGCGACCCCACGCCAGGCGCTTTCTGCAATACTGCCTCGACACCTTCCACGTTGTTGTTTGGTCCTCAGCCCGTCCTGGCAACGTCCAGTCCATGTGCGACCAGCTCCTCCTGGGCCCCCACGGCGGCGGCGCGGGCGGCGGCGCGCAAGGAGATAGAGGCGCGTACCGTCGCCGCGTCCTCGCTGTTTGGGGTCGTGACCGCTTCGGCTTGTCGGACGCCGATTACCAGCTCCGCGTGCAGGTCTACAAGCGCCTGGATATGGTCTGGCGCGAGGCGGATGTGCAGGCGGCGCACCCGGACGCCGCGTACGGCGGCCGCTGGGACCAGTCCAACACCGTGCTCGTCGACGACTCGTTCGAGAAGGCCCGCAGCGAGCCGTACAACCTCCTCCAGATCCCTGAGTTCTTTGGCGACGCCAACGAACCGGGCTACGTGGTACCCCAGGTTCACGACTACCTCAACGCCCTGTGCTACCAGTCTGACGTCAGTGCTTACATGCGTGAGAACCCGTTCAAGGTGAGAGACGACTACAAGCTTGTGCCGGCCGGGCCATGATGCGTCGTATTCAAAAAGAGAGAGAGATCACTGGACAGGCAAGCTTGGCACATCCGAAGTAGCCCAGATGAATACGGGCCGACGTCATGAGGGTAGGGATAAGGTGGCCCGCACTTGCTAGCATTTGAGATACCCTTCAGCATGAGCTCATAGAGCAAGATGATCACATGGATGAACTGTCATATCAGGTGAAGACACTACGAATGGGAAATGTGCTTTTTCTTTTGGTTTTGATCAGGAACATCCTGCATCTATTGCCTCGTCCCAGCAGCTGGAACTAGTGACTTGGCACACAGCCTCTGGCATTACGCGCAAGACATATCTTCTCGGGTCCATAACATCGTCTACACACCCCCTTGCCTAATCGTAAACTCGTTTCATCTCTGCCATAAGCCATGAATGTCGGATCACTCCCTAGAGCAATTCGCTTATTTGAAGACCTTGCCGTCGGCAACGGGGTACTCCTTGCCGTTGTGGGTGGTGGGCTTCTCCCAGCCCCAGGAGTCAGAGACAAACTGCTGGTCCTCAGGCTTGGAGGGGTCGAGCTTCTCGAAGTCGTAGCTCTCGTAGTCGGGAGCGACGTCGAAGGCGGGCTTGTAGTCCTGGCCGCGGACGACGAAGGCACCCTCAATGACGGAGTCGTTGTTCTGGCCGTAGACGGCAGCACATCCGAAGATGAACTTGCGGGAAGCCTCGAGGCGGTTGTTGAAGCCACCAATGAGGTTGTTGGACATGAAGGTCAAGGTGAGCTCGTCGTTGTACTTGTACTTGACCTTCCAGAGGGAGAACTCCTCAAAGTTGGCGTTGTCCCAGAACCACTTCATAGCCTCATCGTGGTTCTTGATGTTGGAGTACTGACGCTTCCACTCCTCAAGGTCGAAAGTGGCGCGGGGGAGCTCAGCAAGGGGGTGCTTGGGCTTGGGGGCGGCAGCGGGCTCCTCGGCGGCAGGAGCAGGGGCAGCCTCCTTCTTGGGGGCAGCCTCCTTCTTAGGCTGCTCAGGCTTCTTAGGGGCGACGTTGGTGAGCTTAGGGGTCTCGAGGTACTCCTGCTTCTCGGCAACGGCGGTCCAGATGTCCTGGTTGACGATGGTGTCGTACCAGCGGGTGACGCTGGGGTTCTCCTGGCGCCACTGCTTGTCGAAGAAGAACTCGAAGCCACGGGCGATGAGGCCAGCGGCGAAGAGGTCAGCGAGAGTGATGCGCTCGCCGACGAGGTAGGTGTTGCTGAGGAGGTGCTCCTCGACGACCTTGATGGCCTTGAGGGTAGCCTTGGAGGCGTCCTCAACAGCCTTCTTGTTGTAGGGGTCCTTGCCCACGAGAGGGCGGAACCAGGCGCCCAAGGAGGGGAGGACCTCAGAGTTGAAGAAAGACATCCACTTCAGGATGGAAGCGTAGCTGAGGAAGAGCACGTCAGTCTCACGCTACGTGGGCTTGTTGGATAATCGTCCGGTGTACTTACTCCTGCTTGGTCTTGCCAAGAAGGGTGGTCTTCTCGTTCTGGGAGGTGACTGTAGGGTCTTCGTTAGTTGCATGTTCCCCAAGGTGTTTTCCAAAGCACAGTAAAGTGGTTGTTGGCAGGATCAGAAATTTAGACTATGTCCACAAGGAAGTTCAGACAGGGATAACTGTATTGAAAAAAGCTTGATCATCACATCGAGAGACGGGGGGTTATGGCTTTGTACGAGGGCTGTTTTGCTTTGTTTTTGCAGGAGGACGAAGCAAGGAGCGACTTGGAACGTACTGTAGATCGCAATGGCGATGCACTCGGACAGAGGGTAGCCATCCTCGCCGAGGAAGGCGGGGACCTTGCCCAGCTTGTTGGCCTTGAGGTGCTCAGCAGAGGGCTTGGTGGTGTCAACGTCGACGAACTCGAGGTCAACGTTGTTGGCCTTCGCGACGGCACGGATGGCCGTGCTGCGGGTGTTACCCTGGAGGGGCGGAAGTCAGCGGTTAGTTAAAGTTGTCCAAAGCCTGGGGAACATAAAAGCAAGGTAAACAACAAATGGGTCGTCAACTTACCGGGTAGGTGAAGAGCTTTCCGAACGCCATCTTGATTCAGTTGTTGCGACTGAGGGGGATGGAAGGGTATCAAAAAAGTGTGTGATGTGGTGGACAGGAGAGGAGAGAGGGAAAAGTTCGTGTTCCCCGCCAGGATGACAGTAATTTTTTGAATGAAATTTCGACGGCGGTGCCCCGCCACTCGAAAGCCCCTCGCTCGACGGGCAGCAGCTTCTAACGCCAGGGCAACGGCTTTGGGCTGCGCTGCACTGAGGGGTAACAAGCGGCGGAGAGGGGTCCAAGCGTCTACAGCCACATGTGGCTGATGCCATCCCATCACGTGACATGAACCGATGTTCAGCCGCGTGCTGCTCGGTTCTTCGAAGCTAAGAAAGATTTCTGTTGAATGTTTGGCGACTTGAGGCTGCATTTACAGATCACGACATTCCCGACGGCCACGCATCGACGAGGGCGTGATCGAGGCCCCACAACATGTCCAACCTACGCCATGGCCTGCAGCAGACCCTCTGCTTGCGCCAGCTGACAAAAGGCCAGCTACTGAAGCCGCAATGGCAACGGCTTGGACCGCAGTTCGGCACCAAGAGCATGTCGACGAGCCAACCCGAGGCCGGCTCGAACCTCACTGCGCCCCCCGAGCAACCCTTCCGCGGCATCAAGACCGCTCGCCCCTTGCCCGTCTCGCCTTCATACTTCTCGAGAGAGCCTCGCTTTAATGATGCCTACATCAAGCTGTCTACCATGTTGCAGCGATACCAGCACCTCCCGACGGCACCACCCGAGCTGGTTCCGCGACAATTATGGAAGAACTTGAAGGGCTACCGGCAAAGTACCGGAGAGCCAGTGAAGGCGATGCCCTACAGCCAGGTCCTGGCCATGGTCAAGCGGTTACACTCCATCTGGCCCAAGATGATGCCCGGCGAGGTTAAGGAGGCCCTGCAAGAGTTCAAGCGCGACATCGACCCATACAAGAACGTGGCAAAGCCCGCGCCCCTCGACAGGTTCGGACGCGCGTTGGGCGTCGGCAGGAGAAAGACGTCGAGCGCGCGCGCCTGGGTCGTCGAAGGCACAGGAGAGGTGCTGGTCAACGGCAAGCCCCTGAACGAGATGTTTGGCAGGATCCATGATCGTGAGAGCGCCGTCTGGGCACTGCGGAGCACGGGGAGGACGGACAAGTACAACGTCTGGGCGCTCGTCGAAGGCGGCGGAGTCACGGGGCAGGCCGAGGCCCTCACATTAGCTGTCGCCAAAGCCATGCTGGTCCACGAGCCTGCTCTGAGGCCGATATTGAGAAAGGGTAAGTGGAACCTGAGCCTCGAGGTGTTTTCGGGTGTGTTACTGACCTACCCGACTCTAGCTGGCTGCATCACGCGCGACCCGAGAAACGTGGAGAGAAAGAAGCATGGCCACGTCAAGGCCAGAAAGATGCCTGCTTGGGTCAAGAGATAGAGCGTTTCTTGCCTCCCGTGCGATTGGCAACGGTGTCACCCGCCACCCATGCTAACTCTTTTTTTTGTACCACCACCCCTATGTATTCATAGAACAGAGGCAGCTCTCACAATGCCAGCCTGTGATGTACGTTTGCCTTGCATTTCAGCGCCGCAACATTGTACCCCAGACAGTCGGCGATCCCCTGGTATGATGTATTCGCAGATGTTCCCACGTCATGACGTTGCGGTCCACTGCGACCGAAGCAACCTACCCAGCGTATAGATCGGGCCTGGAAACTAGGCAACGCGGTTCGAAGGGACCTGGAAATATCCCGATGTCGGTATTGCCGGACCCATAAACGTTAGTGATGTATCACCGTGGTGTCATGCTAACGATATTGGGAGACATGCTATTGTGTCAACCAAAGACCGTTGACTGGACGTCGAGTGCACCAATGCCATGTTCTACCTTGTTGGAACCCGGCCCTCGTAATTGACGGAGAAGCAAACCTGGTGTCTTCAGCACCAAAGGCCCTTAATCCTGGACGCAGGTAAGGAACGCAAGATCGGGCACAGAGCACTGAGAGCAGGGAGTGGAAGTGAACGTCCACGTGGACCGATCCAAAACCCAGATGCGATCTGAAACCCATCGAGACGGACTCCATGATTAGTAACTACCGCTAGTCAACGACATAATTATTCTCCTTCTGGCCCCCCTCTCTTTTTCTCTAGAAGTCATGCTGTCTTCCTCAAATGAAGGTCAAAGTGGCCGAGATGTGTCCTTTGGCTGATACGGCTCATTTAACTATGGCGCGCAATGACCACTTGCAACTGTTCTCGTACGTACGGAGTGGCCGTGTACGTATTTCGAAATTATTAATAAATCGGCGTGCACTGAAACCGGGTCTTGGAAGGAGTCAAGGTAGCCCTCAAGTGTCATTGTTAGGCCAGAATCAGAGGCCACATGGTGGCACCTGTGCAGAGCTGCGGGCGTATGAAGGATGTCAAAAATTTGAAATTGATCCGTGAACAGGCGCGTTGACGTCTCTGGCGTTGAGGCTAGTAATGACGGCCCCATCATGGCCGTCATTGCAGAAACACGTCAGGCGACTGCGTTGTTTCAATTTCCCCCACGAGGGAGCTCCTAAAAGGAGACGACAGCGAGTGCACAGACACTGGAATTGGTCCTCGTCGCCGAAGGTTTCTAGAAGCACAGAATTAATTAACCCAAGGTTCGTGGAGCTGGTTTCATCCCCTGTGGCCATTTGCGGTGATGGCCTGGCAGTCCAGTCGGTGGTTTGCTCGGAGGATGGAGTAAGTTGAGAGAGAGATGGTGGACACACGAGTCGGGTGGTTTCACCGGATCAGGTAAGGCGGCACTAATCAAGCAGAGCGATCATCCCTTCGTGATTTTGGTGTGGGTTCGCGACCATGATCAGGGCGAGGAGGAGGCGTGCCGACGGATCCAAGGCAACTTGAGAGAAAAGATGTGTGATTGATCCAACTCCCAGCCGACGAACAGGGCACAAGGAGGGTAACGATAGGTTAGAGGCTTGGCACGACAATACATATAATGGGGGAACAATATCGGAAGGATATCATGTAATGCGATGGCGAGACTACCGGGCCACGTCCGTCCGACATTGTTTGAAGTAACATCTTTTTCGAGGCCGTCCATGTAAGTGGATAACGGGATCGGATTCAAAGTCGGGGAAGGATCTATCTCTGTGCTGACTTGCTCCTCTGGTGAGAGAGGATCTCGTGGCGAGCTGCGGGGATCAACCAGGTGTAGGTTGAGATGATCGACGATGGTGGCCTTGTGTGAGGCTGAGATCGTCCAAGAAGAAAATATCCAACGGCGGCGTGACGGGCGGTACCTTGCCTGAGATGGAAAGTGGACGAAGAGGGTGCGGCCCTCCAACACGAGTCGAGGCGAGGGCGACACAACCATTTCAAATTGTCGACGTATTGCTGTGGTAGAGGTACCTAATGAGACAGACAGCACAAGCACCGTTCGTAGCGCGCTTGACGCAAGCTTTGTCTGCCCAGTGCTGTGTCGTACATCCGAAACCATGGTACCCGTACCTTGAATCTCGGAGCGGAGATCCAGGTTCGGTTGGACTGGGTCGAGGATGCAATTAACCCGACTGGAAGACAACGCCGAAGTGGGTTGCGGTACTGTGATGCGTCGAGTCCCGTTGGGCAACCGGACCATGCTGCCCAAGGCGTGTGTGGGCAAGTGCCTCACTGGCACGCGATGTTGTAACCACACCTGTGCTTTATCTTTGCTCAAGGTTTACGGTCCCGGCATTAGAGTACCTATTTCTGCGACACGACGTACAAGTATATAGTATGTCGAGGCAGGAGCAAGAGGCAGTGGCGAATCTGTTTTGTGGCCCACGATTGATAACTCTCCGTCTAATCCATGTCGTCCAGCCCCCTGTTTTCCTTGTCATTGGTCTGCAAAACGATGAGAGACACGGTCGAAACGAAGACGCGAGAGAGCCGAAATGGACATGGGAGATGGGCGTGACATGGTTTTTTCGCACTCGCCGTGTGCAGGTAGGTAGTATCGAGAAGTCGTCGTCTGGTAACACGGTGTAGCATGGTGGTGAGCAGCTCGGTATGTACCTAGTCTGCAGGGTCTGCAGTGTAGGTAGGTAGTGGTTGTTGTTCGGATGTCAAGGTGACCTGGGAAGCAAGCAATGCCAATGAGGAAAAGATTGGTAAAAGTTGGAGAAGCCCCACCCAGTTCACAGAGATGGGACTAATACAGAAAGATACACAGCGGATTCGAAGTGGACCAAATCATGAACCGCTAGACCCAGTCGGGGGAGTACGAGTACGAGTAACGGCGCGCGGTTCAGATGCCGTGCTCGTCTCCAGCTGAACCTTTTTTTTATTTTATTTTTTTAAGGAAGACGGAAACAGGAAGGCGCGATGGTGCTCTGAGGGAACCATGATGAAACGTGCTTGCCAGAGATGTCTTTGGTCCAGAAGCATAGGTACTACGTTATAGCCTATAGGTACCTACCCTCAAATCTCCTATTACCCACCTACCTAGGTAGGTAGGTAGGCTGGTAGGTAGGTAACATACCTATGATACCTTAACTCGGGCAGGGTAGGTAATGTAACCGATGGCGACTGAGCAAGACACCCAGCACGAACAACATCTTAGCCTGGCCTAGACTTCTTCCTCCCTGACATCTCACCCCACCGGATCACCGTCCGTCATGTTGCTGGAAATCTCATCGGGTGTGGGCCTCCGTACAAACTCGCAGCGTTGGGGCCTGGAATATCCCGTACGGTGACGGAACTCTTGGCCGACTGGGCATGACCAAGGGAACCACGGCATCTCAGTAACTCGGGAGCTACTTCTCAGTAACTGAGTAGTGATTCCCGGCGTCTTCTTGCCTGAAATCAATGTGTACGCACGTACCGCACGCACAAAAGTACCATTCCTCCTCACCCTTCCAAATGCACCTGAGGATTTGGTAGATTAGATAAGGTCAGGTCGCTTTGTCGCCCAGGGAGCGTTCCGGCTAATGCAATCCCAAATGACAGGAGCTTCGTATGCATGTGCTTATCCCCTCAGCTTACCTATATTATATATAATACAGTAATCGATACTTTGGGGCCCGAGCCTGGGTTTCTTGTACGTATACCACAGTTAGACTGGCCATGAGTAGGCACCTACAGAACACGCTTACAGAGAGAGCATGTCAGGCCAACTCCACCTTATTGCGCTCTGCAACATCGCAATAGAGCATTGGCAGCCATTCACAGACCTGTTCGGCCATGTACGAGATATTGCGTTCAGGCGCGATCCTTGCTAGTTTACGTACGATGTACATAGTAGGACTCTCTTCCTCCAAAAGGGCCTCAGAGCAAAGAGGGGAAGGGTGGGTTTCGACCCTGCAGCTTCAATAATTGATTATTTGTAGGTATAGCAGCTAGGAGTACGGAGTACACTGGCTTACCACCTTGGCATGTACAGATACCTCACTAGCATTCCGTACCCTCCGGGCCACTCAAGCAAGGCACCGGCACTCATTCAGGAACCCACCGAGCCCAGGTTTTCAATCCTAGTTTCTTGGCAGGGGTGTTGCATCGGCTTCTTCAACCACCCTCACTCCTTATCCACTCCTTTCCAGTACTTCCTAACTGGGCCCCAGCGTCACCCCCCCCCCCCCCCCGGCAGCTGCAATATTCGGGCAAGGGTTATAGTTTTTCTCCTTTGAACAGCAACACGCGCTCGCCAAGTACCGGTACCTTTGTCGCGAAACTGTTGCCTTTACCTACCGGTAGGTACGGTATGCAGCAAATTCTCATCTCATACCTACAGCGAACGAGAAACGCTTCAAGCAAGACGTCTTGCACAGCAACGGTCACTAAAGCATTTTGCTGAGGTTCTCTGCATAACAAGCATCTTCTCCTCGAACGTGCCACTTCGGTTTCCCCATCCATCCATCGGAAGGACGCTCAGACGCTGTGGGGGATTTGGCACTCGGTGACTGCGGTGAAAGTGAGGCTTCGACCACCTCCAACGATTGGGCATCATCGAGTCTCACCCAAATGCCGAACCCGGCCTGATCATGCCGTGAACGCCATTTGATATTATCCTCGGTCGTCGGCGGAAAGGGGGTTCGGTCTATTGTGTGTATCGACTCGGCCGGCCCCCCTTTCCAGTATTCCAAATGGCAGCCTGTCGTCTTCCATTCCTGACTTTCCATTGGCTTCGACTGGTCTGGTCAAAGAAAGACTCGCGGGAACAAGTCCCTTCCTCCTGTATTGTCTTTAACTGCCCGTTACTCCACCAACTCCCATTTTGCCCGATTTTTCGGGCGGGGGGGGCGAATCGGACCATTTTCCAACTAGAAACGCTTCCCTCCCATAATCTGCTACTACCGTGTACTTTGTTGCCCCAATCCGAGATGGCTCAGGTCGCCTCGTTGCACATCAGTATCTCCCGCCAACATTGACTGAATCGCATCAGTACAGTCTGCTGCTAATTGAGAT